TGGTCGATACTCGGGCCAACCGCAGCTAGGCAACAGCAGAGTCGTCTACTCATGGCCAGTGGCCTATGGCTATGTACGTGTGCTTGAGTGTTTGTGTATTTGTATACGCTTGGGGATAGGGAGAGAAGAGGGAGCGAGGGGTATAGGGAGCGAGCGGGAGAGGGAGCGAAAGGGAGAGGGAGAGCAGCAAATAAAAACATGTTTGATGGTTGCTAGCCTTTTTGTAAGGTATTTGCGATTGACAGTGTGTTTATGTTTGACCTTTGAGTGAAACTTCTGTACCTACCATGTGTAATGGTTAGGTGTTCGTTTACAATTCATGTGACATACGATTCAGTCCAAGCCAGAACCATGAAGAGGAAGCTTGAAACTAATTACTTCTTAAAACGGTTTATTTCCTTCACAAGAAAGGAATAATATATTTGAGGCGTATTTTATTCACGTGACTGTCAAACCGAACTAATTAAGTTAACTTTTTCCTTAAAAACAAAACAAACAAATTTAGCCAGAGTCGCCACCAACTTCGACAGCTCCGGCTCCGCCTCCATCTCCGGGCAAAAGATGCCGGCTCCGGCGGCTCCGGATCCAGCTCTAGCTGCGGTTCCGCAGCCCTGCTCATAGCACATATGTCAGGGTTGGTGTGGGAGTTCCTCCCTGCAGCATGTCCTCCAGGATCTGTAAGCTGAGGTAGGTGCGGAGCAGGGTCACCTCCTCCGGCGTCCGTCTGAAGAGTGGCGTTGAGCGGATGAGCTGGAGGCGCGCTTCAATCTCATCGCGGTTTCTCTCCGATGCCTGGGACGCTCTAGTCGAGAGGGCCACGTCAGCTGACGAGGCCTCGCCGGTCGAGAGAGCCGTGGCGCTCTCCTGGGACGCTCCAGTCGAGAGGGCCACGTCAGCTGACGAGGCCTCGCCGGTCGAGAGAGCCGTGGCGCTCTCCTGGGACGCTCTAGTCGAGAGGGCTGCGTCAGCTGACGAGGCCTCGCCGGTCAAGAGAGCCGTGACGCTCTCCTGGGACGCTCCAGTCGGGAGGGCTGGGTCAGCTGACGAGGCCTTGCCGGTCGAGAGAGCCGTGGCGCTCCCCTGGGAGTGGGACGGAACAGTCGAAGGGGCTGCGTCAGCTGACGAGGCCTTGCCGGACGAGAGAGCCATGGCGCTTTCCTGGGGCGGACCAGTCGAAGGGGTTGTTGCGTTTGACGAGCCTGCCCTGGTCGAGGGGACGGTCGAGAGGACCGTGGTGGTTATCGTGGTCGCATTGGTCGCCGGAGACTGGGCGAGCGGCGTGCCCAGCCCTATCAACCGACCGTCTTCTGTAGTGAAGTAGATACTGGGTGCTGATGACGTTTCTCCCGCGGTTGTCAGTGCGGTTTCTGGGCCGGCTTCTTGCTGATTCGTCATCATCTGGCCCCAGGTAATCCCGCCAGGAACCTTAAACGACGTCAGGTAGTTGTCTCTGCCTGCCGGAGTGAAAAAAAAAAAACAAAGGGATGTAAGAGACAGCGGATCTTGGCGCCCTTTTGCCTCACGCTTACGATGTTAATCCCTTGGGTCTGGGAAGGGGTGCCGTCCCAAAGGTTTTCTTTTTTTTGTCACGATAGCTTCTAACACACTAACACAGGAGAAAAAGAGCTTAGCTCGGACATGTCTGATCTTTTGTTTAAGCCCTCCAAAGACAATGCATAAAAAATATTTAACACTACTATGTACCGTTACATCTGAAGGCTGAAAGTAACATACCCACGCAATCCATGACGGTATCGTCGAGCTGGGTCCAGACCACTGCACCTGCCCCCGACTGGTTCTTTTGCTGGAATTTTTCTGCAACAGAGGTAAGTGTACGGCGTGAATATTTGCTCTGTGGGGGATATCAACCAAAACATGTGCGGCTCGGTTCGTCAAAAGCTGTTTCTAAAGAGCTAACGCCTTAAAAAAATTGAAGTCTGCGTATATGATATAAGGTGCGTTATTTGGTTAAATGCCATTGTGCTAGCACTGCAGTGTGCTTAATTGCGGTGTCGTAGTGGTGGTAACAATGGTTACTCACTTTTTGTCCGGTCTTGGGTGTTTTTTATAACACCCTGCAGCATGCTTTGCGTCGATGTTGCGTCATTTATCAGGCCAAGTTGAATGGCTCGCTCGCGTATGCGACCCCATTCTTGAAGCCTACGCGAGCGGGCATTGGGGCCCTTAAACTCTCCATAAAGTGTCTGGAAAAGGAGAACGTTGACACACTTTATTTCCATATCTGTTGGGTGGGTAATCAGGCAAAACTCAGCAGATACAGCCGGCATCATAAGTACCTACTCCGCCTCCCGAGATTCACCATTGCAAATGATTTGTCTACTTTGTAGGAGAACAAGCAAATTGTAATGCTCGAAGGATACTAAAAGTTAGCCTTAAACTGCACAACGTGGTCGATGAGTTTGTAATCCAAGAATCTATTGGCATCGGAATAACTTTTCCTCCAATGTTTCCTCTAATGACAACGCAATGTTGTCGCTCCCTCGGCCTAGAGAAGTTTAAAAATGACAAACTTTAATGGTAACATTTATCATAATAAAAATGTTACGGGCGCAGAAGCCTGCGAAGAAGTGATATTCGAGGACTCTTTGAAAATGACGAACATTTTTTGACGAACATTTGTAAACCTTCCGATTTAGAACCTCCGAAGGTTCTAATTTCGTCTCTGATCCACCCGCGTCCATCTCTGACTCCCCCCTCCACATCTTGCGTCTTTCGTGTTTGTATTATATGAATTCCTGTGTGCTGCAATGTAACCGGACTCGTGATGACGATAATCTTTCAGCTCTATATTTGCGTATAGAGTTCAGACTACAATTTGCGTATCGATACTACAATTTGCGTATCGATGTCGGAAAATTGAGATTTGGAAAAGTAGCTTTTCCAAGTAAATAAGCATCCTGACTTGGGCATTGCAGCTGGCCTCAAAAGCTGTATTTTGATGATATTTCGACGACGCATAATTTAAGAATAGTAATTACGATTTGTGTGTAGGTATAATATGCATCCTTCACGGCAGAGAGTCGTGAAGGATGCACGGCTAAATCGTGTTCCCGGCTGTGGCGGGAAGCCGTCGCGCGTCGGCGCGCGGGCGCGGGCAGAGCGCGTGGAAGACAGAGGTGTCTTACATATTCATAACTAGCTATCTGTTTCTCGGACATTCATAGCCCATTTCGTCTCAAGACTCAAGGCCCTCTTCACCTTAGCAGGGGGGGAAAAAGTGCCATCTTTTGCAGGGACCGAGCCCGTGTCGCGTTGACCACATTTAGCCATTTTGTCCCAGTTTTGCATTTCATTTTTAACGCGTTAAGTCTATCAAGCGAATTCAAATTTGCGAAAATCTATTCCATTTCCGGCCACATACTACGCACTATCCAGACGGACGAATGCACTATAAAAGGTATAGACGCATATGGTGATGGTGCCTACCAGAGCTGCGGTGTAAGTCGGAGTCGGAGTCGGGCGGAGTCGACAGTTCTGATCGGAGTCTGAGTCGGGATACGTTTGGAAAAACTGGAGCCGGAGTCACAAGAAATCCAGCGACTCCACAAACCTAGCAAGGCTTTGGAGTCGGCGTCTGTCTGAGTTGGAGTCGGTCGGAGTTGACAATGCCACCCGGAGTCGAAATCGGAGCTTTTAAAGCTGGAGTCGGAGTCTGAGTCACCGAAAACTAATCGACTTCGCATCTCTGGTAGGTACCAGAGTCTACTACCTATATAAAATTAGCCATGAGGCTGCTTGAAATTTGTGTCTAGTACGTATGCATAACTATGTAGAATTGCATGCTCTTTTTTAATAGTGACGGTACACTACATAGGAACTGGAACCATTTAATTCAATTGCCCACATTAAATGCCTCCCCCGAACAAAGAAAAAATTAAGGAATTGTTTAATTTTATCTGAGCTTGGATACCTAGGTACACATCATATCATCAAACACGTTTAGGAACACAGGGATTGTTGCAATGTTACAGCTCCACCCGTGATGTTGCCAAGGATGCTAATGGTGCATTGTAATTTACAAAATTATGCCTACCCTCTAAATATGCGAAGATCACGGCATCGAAATTATCGCAAAATAAATTAGCTAGAGCCTCGTCAAAAATGCTATATAAACGCGACTCCTATCTTGGATAGCGCAGTCGCACTTACCTTGCGTTCATCACGGATGAGCTGAAACAGTTCAAGCTTTTTCTGTTCCGCAATTATTCGCTTCATCTCCGCTTGCACTTATCTTTTGCTCGTTCGATTGAGAATTAATAGTTAAGAATTATCATATGAATACCAAGGGACGCGAAGGATGAGTAGTTTTGAAACAAGCGGTCAGATACGCCACTTTGTTGCCATGGCAACGTCAACCACATTATAATTCAATTTACTCAATCTTTTCATTGAATAAAGATATATATGTATTCGAAATAATTATTGGAAGCTAGTAAAGGTTGAAAATACGTTTTAACAAAACAATTTTTTTTCTTTTCCGTTCGTTTTCTAGCACCTTTTTCCTGCCCAGGCCGCCGAACATCCAATCCTAAAAACGCGAGTTGTCAAATTTACCTGGACAGGTAGGTAGAATGGTGCAAGAGAAGTTGCCGCCGCAGGTAGTTTTACTAGGTAGGTATTTTGCTGATTCTACCTAGCTAGGTAGTTTGGTGCAAGAGGCCTCAGGTCAGGTCAGGTCATGGTAGGTCTCATTAAGTCGCGGAGGGTTACATACCCAAAATCCTACCAATAAAACCTATTCATTCGATAGCGGTATAAGTGAGTGGCATCGGGGAGACCATGAAGCGAATGCCCGGTGCTGGCCCAAAGTGATGAACTAAACACAATAATCCTCTATATTTTTTTCCTCTCCTTCCCTCTCTCAGTCATTAACTCGCACGGGCTCCAGTTTGGACGAAAAAGACGACTCAAAGTGCGCTACTGCCTCCTCTGACCGACCCGGACGACACGCTGGCCCACGTCCTCCCCGAAACACTCACATGCGCTCCACAATGCGACAGACCCGGTGTTGGTAGGCACGCCGATGCAGCACCCAGCGCGTGTAGAAGAGGTCGTACATGTTGCCCACCTCCTTATCACGGGTGCAGATCTGGAAGCCCTCATTCTCCACCTCAATGACCCTGGGGGAGAGCAGCCAGACCGGCAGTCAGAGTGGCGCCGTGTGCTGGACGCAGGAGAGTGGACGAAGAGCTAGAAGGCCAATGTTTGTTCATTTAGCATACAGGTATACAAGGCCATTTAAGGTCGACGGCCGACGACAATGATCAGAACTAGAAGAATCAGAACCTTGCGATCAGGGGAGAGCAAGGACAAGAGGAACGCGCGCCATCGAGGTGACCCGTCCCAGCACCATCACAGCTAGGTCACAAGAGGAGACATCACGCTTTCCCCAGCTCTGACGCACCTGCTGTACAGCAGGCAGCGCTTGTAGTCGAAGCTGATGTTGATGCCCAGCAGGTGAGAGTCGCGGCAGAAGTAGTCCCACTTGTCCACGTCGATGCCGTTACGCTTGTTGGAAATGATCTGGCAATTCAAATATTCTATAAATTGGCCATCCTGCTGATGTGATTTTTTTCGAAAACCAATTAAATGAAACTAGTATACTTTTGATCTTAAATTTCGCGCCTGCATTCAAGGCCTTAGGATATACTTATATCATAGACTCGGTAAGGATATAGTCATAGTCACTAAATGGAAATTGATTTGTGCAAAAACTCACAAACCAGATAAACTGCCATCTGATAACCAGTCATGTCCCATACTATAACCTCCGCCTTGAAGACCGCATCCACTGACCTCATACAGGAAGGCTTTCTTGCCGGTACGTCCGACGTATTTGCCCGTGTCCGGACAGGGCCCGGCGATCTGCTCCTTGATGAAGGTGATATCCAGCTCAGTCAGCTCGAAAGCAGTGAAGCTCTCCATCAGACCATTCTGCTCCAGCATGTACTGAAACATCTCCACGGAGGTGGCCTCGTGCTGCCCCGCCACGCGCCGAAGCACGGTCAGACGGTCACGGAAAGTCACAGGCGTGCGCGTGCTCATGTAACTAGTACAGTGATGGAGGTATCTGGTATAGTGAAAGCTTCTTCTTACTACAGTACAGAGAGAAAGAGCGAGTTATGACTCACGAGGTAATGTAATAATTGCATATAGACTTGCATCGATGATGAAATCAGTGAAGCCCGTAGCTCAGCTGGTAGACTAGTGCTGCACTCGACCGGGTAAGGATACCCCAGATTCAAGTCGCTCCGACGTTCTACACACAAAAGTCGGAACTATAATGACGGGGATGGTTTGCGGTTGAAGAGAGCCGCCGTCACAAACACTCGTAGTTAGTGAATGGGTCAGAAGCAAATCCAATGTTCAGCTTTGACGAAGCGCTGCACTTTAATTGCTAACATTTTCCTAATCAGCTGGTATTTCACGATCGGACGTAAGAGTCAGACACAAGCCTCTCTTAGCTCTGGCGGCTTCGTCAACCTGTTCACGCAGAACGTTCAGAATGAATTCTCATTAATTATGCTAGTTATAGAACGTAGAGCCGCAGCTCTCAACTATAAAAGACTTTGAACTTTAAAGCCCCTACCGTACTAAGCCAAATATAAGTGGAGGGTGAGACATAGCATAGCTCCCCGCATCTATCCGCTTCCCGCGTGTGCCATGGTCCATGCCATCCTGTTCCTTGACCTCAGGAAACCGCGCCTCAATTTTAACGACGTTCGGCCTCCTCCGAAGCATCGATGTCCCCCTCTCATTCCTCTCTCTCTCTCTTCCCACTCCTCTTATTCATAGCACCGCACAGACCTCACCCCACCATTCCCACCATTCCCTGACTCAAAGCATAGGCCCGGCCGCACCGTCAGTCTCTACCACCCCTGGCTCACCTTCCAGTGGCGCTCTGGCCGCACCTGATCCATGAACGTCTCCCACATGTGAGAGAACGGCCCGTGGCCCAGATCGTGACAAAGGCCGGCCAGACTGACACACACCACGTCAATGTCGGTGATGTTCAGCTCCGGCTGGTTCCGGCGCAAAGTCGACACCAGCTCGGCGGCTCGGCGGCCAAAAATGGGCCTAAAATAGTGTTTTTTTTTTCGCCTAATAGTTCATCGGTTTTTCGATATGTATAACAACTGTAGTGGGCTGACCTGCAAACAGGCGTCGGCAACAATCGCGAATGCGGCGCACATGTGACAATAAGCAAAGGTCATTATAGAGTTACGACGTACGGGAATGAGTTATCAGCTGTCTAATCGTAGACAACACAATGTCGAATTTAACCCTAGAACGCCTAGGGGGGGGGGGGGTTGTATCAACCCCCCCCCCCTGAGGTTTTTTCGAAGTGCACGCTAAACGGCTTGTCGTAGCGGGCTGAAATTTTCAATACCCTCTGGGGCAACCTTTGCGCATCTTTTGCCGAAAAAAATTGATCGGGTCATGTCAGGTCACGGAGTTATGACGTCATAAGAGGTACAGCCTCCGGCCGGATTTTCACAAACTGAGTGCCAACGCCCGAGGTTTCCTGCCGGTGGTACGGACATCGGTTGATGGATCGTGATGAAACTTCCCATGCATGTTGGGGCAAGTATTGGCTATCATATGGTATAAGAAATTTGACCGGGTCAGGTCAGGTCACGGAGCTATGACGTCACAAGAGGAACAGCGTCCGGTACTATTTTTGAAAAGCGCCCGAACCACTATTTTGCTAATTCTTGTCACCTCAATGGGAATATGCAGCAATATTAGCTTCTATAGGGAGCAAATGGACCTCCCAAATCCAAAAATACAATCAGATTTCAAAAATTTAAATTTTGATTTTTCGAATTTCTGCCGCCGACTGTGACCTTGCCGACTTCCGGCGCTCCCAACGCGCCATTTTTAGAGCTAGGGAAACGGAATACATACCAAACGATAGAGAATTGATCAAGGAACACGATAGTGAAGGTTTCAAGTCGATATCTCCCACCGTTTTGCCGCAATCGCCGCCGAAAGTTGAAAAAAGTCTCTTTTTCCGAAAATTTGACCTTTGACCGGTCAAAAGTAGGTCAAATGTTGACCTAGGACCAAAAAATATGCCACCAATCGCGAGATCTCGTTGAGAGCAATCCGTTGGTTTTTTTCCGCTAAGCTCTACGACCTTCCGTTTCGAAACGCCAGGGGGGGGTCGTAACACCCCCCCCCCCCCTGGTCGTTCGTGTTATGAGAAATGGCCTGGTCGTGCGAGGGTTAAACTGTAAGCCTGTATTGGTATTGTTTCTTTAATTTGGCTGTCGAACATTAATTTATGGTTTGAAACATTATTTTATGTAAAATAATTGACATGAAACAGCCGTCTCTAAAGTTATGACCCCATTTCACCACATGAAAGTGGCAGAAATGACAATGATCAGCTGACGAATTTTTCTTGGCCGAAGTCAGAGCGCGCGGCCCGATGCACCACCACCGCACCACAAAGTATGAGCAGAAGCCACCTGCGGTAGACCGCGCCCAAAGCCAGGGCCCCGGTAACGTGAGGTAGCCGAGTCGGGGTAGCGTGCGCTGACCCAAGCCGGGGCCGCGGCTTTGGACGCGGTCTACCGCATCCCCGGGCAGCCCCGGGCTATCACATGACACCGGGAGGACGCGCGGCCCCGGCTTGGGTCAGCGCACGCTGCCCCGACTCGGCTACCTCACGTTACCGGGGCCCTGGCTTTGGGCGCGGTCTACCGCACCACCTAACAGGCGTGTTCGAAACCGCAGGAGATGATGATGAACGGGTTCATCGAAACTTGATTGGATGAGCCTATCGGTAATAGCGATTTCAGTGTGTGCATTTATTGTTCATAGTGGTGTGAAATGTGGTTGGGGTACGACCGACAGCCCGTCGGGGCGAATTTCGCACTGGGGTACTCAAAATTTGAAGAATTTAAGACGTTTCCATGAGTTTTGAAGGTATGGATAAGTTCTAAAAATCCGGTTCTCCTTATCTGGGCCATTAACTCCATACGGTCCAGGAAAGCTGGCACACTACCTTTAACCCTCGCCCCGTTGGGGGGGGGGGGCCATTTTGGCCCCCCCCCCTGTGGTTTTTCCTGAATAGCAAGAAAACGGCGGCGCGCAGCGCCGCCAAATTTTCAGTACCTTCCCGGGCATCAATTTGACACCTTCACACCAAATTTCAAGTCTTAGGTCACCTTAGGTCAGGAGTTATTGAGGTCAAACTGAGGTCATGTTCGAGCAAAAATGAGCAAAAAACATGCAATCTTGAAACGCTCACCAAATCTACAGTTATCAAGCAATTTCAAAGTTCTTTATATGGTCTAGTAGACAAAAGGCGGCGCTACAAAACTGCTATCTCGGATTTTCAAAATTTTTGGTTTTTGACCCAAAAAAAATAAAAAAATTGATTTTTTTGAAAAACTTTGAAAAAATCCAAAAATTTCCCGAATTTCGAAAAAAACCGGAATATATGTGATAGTCCCAGCGCTCTTCTATATACATACCAAATTTCAGATCGATATCTCGTTTTTTGGCCAAGTTATAGCGAAAAAACTGTTCAAAAATGATGACGTCAAATTTTTGAACTCAATTTTTAGCAATTCTAGACCTCGTACGGCAAAACAAAGACCACCATTGAACTCCCCGTGATGAGCTGCATCGATTCGATACCCATTTTATGCAAAAATATTAACTTTGAAATTTGACCTAATTTGACCTGACCTTGACCTGACCTTGACCTGACCTTGACCAAAACGTGATCTAAGCTGGCCCCAAAGGCTGCCTGACCCATATAATCGCATTTGTCATGTAAAATGGACCATAAAACATGTATCACACGACACTTTCATATTGTGACCCCCCCGTGACCTGACCTCTGTGACCTGACCTGGTATCAGTGACCTCAAATAGCAAAATATGTGTTTGAAGAACATTTCCCCATCGATGATTTTCAATGAAATGCATTTTACTCGATTTTACAACGCATTTCTTGAAGTGCCTGTAAACGGTGAAAATTGGACCTTTGACCTGACCTGTGACGTCATCGGTTTGACCTAGGTCAATAAAATTGGGTCACAAGGTAGTTCCCCGTTGGGGCTATCCAACGCCGTTTACCGCTTGTCGCTATGTTGCGTGGTTCTCGAGATCTTAGGGGGGGGGCCAAAATGCCCCCCCCCAACCGGGCGCGTTGCTCGGCAGAGCCCAACGGGGCGCGGGTTAAGGGGGGGGGGGGCACTGCCGACTTTTGGTCCCATTCTTTCCATGCAACACCCATAGGGCTAATGTTAAAACTCCCAAATCAAAGGGGAGGGGCACGGTGCCCCGGTGCCCTCCCCGTTCCGCCGCCTATTCGTACTAAGTCAAATATAAGTGGAGGGTGAGACCAGAGGCATAGCATAGCTCCCCGTATCTATCCGCTTCCCGCGTGTGCCATGGTCCTTGTCATCCCGTTCCTTGACCTCAGGAAACCGCGCCTCCATTTTAACGACGTTCGGCCTCCTCCGACGCATCGATGTCCCCCTCTCATTCCTCTCTCTCTCTTCCCACTCCTCTTATTCATAGCACCGAACAGACCTAATCCCACCATTCCCACCATTCCCTGACTCAAAGCATAGGCCCGGCCGCACCGTCAGTCTCTACCACCCCTGGCTCACCTTCCAGTGGCGCTCTGGCCGCACCTGATCCATGAACGTCTCCCACATGTGAGAGAACGGCCCGTGGCCCAGATCGTGGCACAGACCGGCCAGACTGACACACACCACGTCAATGTCGGTGATGTTCAGCTCCGGCTGGTTCCGGCGCAAAGTCGACACCAGCTCGGCGGCCAGGTATGCCACCCTGGAAACACAGAGCACCAATAGTGCAGGAAGTTTCTATGCAATGAGACAAACCACACAATAAACATGGCTACAGCAGCTATTGCTTGAAATTTGAATAGCAAGGAATTTCTTCTTACATATTTCAATTTTTCAAGCAAGTGAATAGCAGGGGCGGAGAATTGTCATAATCCCAGGGGGTGCTTTTCTAGCACCTGGCGAATGGAAGCGTCGAATTCTTGCGTAGAAAAGCACATAAACGTACGGCCCTCCAGAAAAAACAGTGGTTGTTTAGCCTGTGTGATTTTGGTGTAATAACTTTAAATGACAGAGACACACCTGTAAAATGACTCAATAGAAATGAGAAAAGGGTTCGTGCACACATTTCGGCAATGGTTTTCAACAGCCATTAGACGTATTCATCAATGCAGATCAATTATTGTGATGTTGGCAACCAACCACTTAATACCTGGAGGGCCGTACGTTTTCCCAGCAGCATCACTCTCCTCGCGACTTATGCAAAGCAGTTTGTGTCTCAGACGTATTAGGTCGTTCAATAAGTAACGAACAATCGGTCATAACTTCTTTATTTCTTTATTTAACACTTTCAAACTTTCACAGATTATAGATCAGACATTTCTGAATGCAGCCTTTGCCTCAAACCAGTCGCCGCCCGCCTGCACACACTTCTCCCAGCGTTCCGGCCAAAGCTGGAATTCCGCCCGGAAAAACGCGTTTTCCGTCTTTTTCACCCAGTTCTTGACAGCGCAGCTGACTTCAGCGTCGGTCTCGAAGTGTTCACCACGGAGGCCATCCTTCAGGGGACCAAAGAGGTGAAAATCTGAAGGAGCCAGGTTCGGACTGTAGGGCGGCTGGGACATGATATTCAGCCCTGTCTCGCGATCTCCTCGCGTGTGGCGTGAGACATGTGCGGACGAGCGTTGTCATGGTGTCATCCTGGTGGGCTTTCTTGAACCTGGGCGGGTTAATGGGTTATGGACAGCGGGCCGCTACATCACATTCCTGCAGGAGACTGAGAAAAGCAATCCTGAAGAAGAGGCGCGGCTCGGATGTCAACAACATCACCATACACCATGACAACGCCCGACCGCACTTGTCTCACGCCACGCGCGAGGAGATCGCGTGACAGCCGACAGGGCTGAATATCATGCCCCAGCCGCCCTACAGTCCGGACCTGGCTCCTTCAGATTTTCACCTCTTTGGTCCCCTAAAGGATGGCCTCCATGGTGAACACTTCGAGACCGACGCTGAAGTCATGTGCGCTGTCATGAACTGGGTGAAAAAGACGGAAAACACGTTTTTCCGGGCGGAATTCCGGCGTTGGCCGGAACGCTGGGAGAAGTGTGTGCAGGCGGGCGGCGACTGGTTTGAGGCATAGGCTGCATTCAGAAATGTCTGATCTATAATCTGTGAAAGTTTTAAAGTATTAAATAAAGAAATAAAGAAGTTATGACCGATTGTTCGTTACTTATTGAACGACCTAATAATTTAAGCACCCCTGGAGCACTATTATATGATGGTGACTTGAATTTCAGGGGGTGCTCGAGCACCCCAAAAACTTTCTCCACCCCTGGTGAATAGGGTCTCCTCATGATTTTTGCTGCTGGCCTCATTTAGCTGCTGAATGTAACAAACACTGATATATGCATTTCAGTTGAGACAAGTATAATAATACGGAACAAAAATGATAGACGAACGCGTTTCGGCTAAATCGCCGTCATCAGCTCCTTTTCGACGCTTCTCCTTTTAGACGCTGATGACGGCGATTTAGCCGAAACGCGTTCGTCATCATTTTCGTTCCGTGTTATTTAACACTGATATGCTTCTCTAGTTAACCTGCAACGGGCCGGGGGGGGGGGGTGTGTTTGAACACCCCCCCCCCCTGCGGTTTTTCGCAGATATCTCAAAAACGGCGGCGCGGAGCGTCGCCGTTTTTGGCACACCTGTTCGTGCATCTTTTCCGCACATGTGAAAATTTCAGACCCAGGTCGCCTTAGGTCAGGTCACCAGGTCACGCCAAGTGACCTCACCTCCGAAAAAATAAGAATGCTCGTCATAGCTACACCGACTGATCGATTGCCTTGAAACTTTCAGCGATTGATAAGATCAACATTATCTATAAAATGTATATCTCGGAATTTTCATATCGGTGACCTAAGGTCAGATCAATTTTGCGGCCTCTCCATTATACCTACCTAAGTCAATGGGAGAAAATTGTAACACGTCTGTTTTGCACGGACGCTATTCTAGACACTCTCAAACATAGAGATGTAGGTAAAATTGACACACTGAACCGGAAAATGGCAACTGTGACCTCTCCTTATGTCCCGTAGGTCATCTCAGGTCACGAACAGAATCTAGCAGTTTTTCGCTAATAACTTCTGATAGAGGTGCGGCAGAGCGCTCAAAACGCCTTAGATGTGTTTGGCTCAATGTTGCCGATCGACTGATATGCAACATGACCTTTTCCGGTCAGGTGATGACCTTGACCTGAGGTTTAATTTTCAAGTTGACCTTTCAAGGTCAAATTATAGTTCATTCGACGCGTCTCGACGAGAGGAACACGATGCTGGCAAAAGTAATGTCATGGCTCTTTTGAGTCAGAAGTTATTGCCGAAAAAAACGCTTTTCGTAAAAACGGTTATTTTAGGAGTTTTTGCCCTCTGGAGGCTAAACCGTTGACCTGAGGTAAGATCTGAGAACATTGCTCAGAAATGCCTGTAAAAGGGCTATAGAATGCGTTCTTCCGCGGCGCTGTAGCTCTATTGGTTCCCGAGATAGCCGTCGGCAGTTTTCAAAATGTTGAAATAGTCAACATTTTACCTTTGGTGACCTCTGGTGACCTGACCTTTGGCCTGGTCCAAAAAATTACTCAAGTGTTTTCGTCCTTATTTTGGACGTTCTTTCGATTGCCGCTTACCGCGTGTCGCTACATGGCCCAGGAGCCGAGTTAGAAGGGGGGTGTGTTAAAACACCCCCTCCCCCGGCCCGGCGCGGAATCTCGGAGCACCGGCCCGGCGCGGGTTAAAGGTAGTGTGCCAGCTTTCTTGGACCGTATGGAGTTAATGGCCCAGATAAGGAGAACCGGATTTTTAGAACTTATCCATACCTTCAAAACTCATGGAAACGTCTTAAATTCTTCAAATTTTGAGTACCCCAGTGCGAAATTCGCCCCGACGGGCTGTCGGTCGTACCCCAACCACATTTCACACCACTATGAACAATAAATGCACACACTGAAATCGCTATTACCGATATGCTCATCCAATCAAGTTTCGATAAACCCGTTCATCATCATCTCCTGCGGTTTCGAACACGCCTGTTAGTTGGCTTCTGATGCTCGTCGAGGTCGGAATTTCCAAATACGCGTGGTGCGTCGGGCCGCGCGCTCTGACTTCGGCCAAGAAAAATGCGTCAGCTGATCATTGTCATTTCTGCCACTTGCGTGTGGTGAAATGGGGTCATAACTTATAAGACGGCTTTTTCATATCAATTATTTTACATAAAATCATATTTCAAACCATAAATAATGTTCGACAGCCAAATAAAAGAAACAATACCAATACGGGCTTACAGTTTAAGGCTCGACATTGTGTTGTCTACGATTAGACAGCTGATAACTCATTCCCGTACGTCGTATGGTCGTAACACTATAATGACCTTTGCTTATTGTCACAAGTGCGCCGCATTCGCGATTGTTGCCCGACGCCTGTTTGCAGGTGAGCCCACTACAGTTGTTATACATATCTAAAAACCGATAAACTTTTAGGCGAAAAAGGCACTATTCCAGGCCCATTTTTGATTTTTTTTTGCGATATTAGGTAAAAACAGAAGCTTCTTATCCTAGGAAAAATAAAATGGGAAATCTTTCAAAGGTGGCACACTACCTTTAAAGCAAATAGTTCACTTTTAACATGGGGTTTTAAACTGGAATAGCAGTTTTGTAGATTGAGCTGAGACTAGCACTAATCAGAAGCTTTTACGGCTGATAATCACCCCATACAAAAATATTCCATTTCTCGTTCCGAAAAGAGTGCCTTGCAGAGGAATGCGTGCCTTGCTGAGGAATGCAGTCACGTCATCGTCAGCCAATCAGCATGCTGCTTACAGCCAATGGGTTTGTCCTACGCAATATGATTGGTCAACGCGTACTAAGTCCAGGTTAAACGCGCGTCAAGCTGGGGCCGAGGGGGCGCTACTCCCCTTACTGGCCGAAGTCACAGCCGCCGCACAGCCGGAGCCAGATGACCCCGGCTAAGCAGCAGATCTGACCAGGGGTGTAATTTTCCCAAAATGATTGTGGGTGCCCAGCTGTAGGGGCGCCAGGCCGCTTAGGGTACGTAGGGGCGCCAGAAGGTTACAAGGGCGCCGAGAGACCATGACAAGGGCGCCATTCTCCCAGAAGGGCGCAAAGTGATTAAAAATGCTATATGATCCAGGGGCGCAGAGAGGTCAAAAGGGCGCCGCACAGTCAGTAATGCTAAGTTGGAAGTTGGTGGGGACGTAGGGGCGCCAGACGGTTACGAGGGCGCCGTGAGACCATGCAAAGGGCACTATTCTCCTAGAAGTGCGCCGAGTGATTGAAAACGCTATGTGGTCCAGGGGCGCTGAGAGGCCAGAAGGGTGTCGAACAGTCAGTAGTGCTAAGTTGGGGGGACATAGGGGCGCCAGACGGTTACGAGGGAGCCGTGAGACCGTGCAAAGGGCACTATTCTCCTAAAAGGGCGCCGAGTGATTGAAAACGCTATGTGGTCCAGGGGCGCTGAGAGGCCAGAAGGGTGTCGAACAGTCAGTAGTGCTAAGTTGGTGGGGACATAGGGGCGCCAGACGGTTACGAGGGCGCCGTGAGACCATGAAAAGGGGCGCCATTCTCATAGAAAGGCGCCGAGTAATTGAAAACGCTATGTGGTCCAGGAACGCTGAGAGGCCAGAAGGGCGCCGAACAGTCGAGGGATGCACGGTGGACAGAAACATAACTAGGGCGCGAGACGGTCAGGAGGGCGCCGTTAGACCATGAGAAGGGCGCAGTGCTGTCAAAAGGGCGCCATTCTCTCAGAAGGGCGCCGATTGATTAAAAACGCTATATTATCCAGGAACCTGAGGCGGTCAGGAGGACGCCGTTAGAGCGTGCGAAGGGCGCCGTGCTCTCGAAAGGGCGATTGTGACATAAGACTTGTGGGTGCATTTTCATCATTGTGGGGGCATATTTCAGGATTGTGGGTGCATCTGCCCCCACAAAGAGATATAAAATTACACCCCTGGCTCTGACCAGTCAGCCCCCTGCGGGGGATCCGATGGTATCATAGATACAAACCTGCAGTTTGCTTGAAGATCCACTGAGATCATAGATCCATTACTTGGATCCATGCACATGTCCAGTCTGGCTACCTCCCCTGCAGGTACCTACTGTGTAGGTACCTGCCTACTGTGTGTGTAGGTAACTGCCTACTGTGTAGGCCCGCATAGTGCCCCAGCACCAAAAAGTCAAGATCTTGTGGAGATTGCCATACTTAGCAGCCTGGGCTATCAAATAACAAAACAGGTGTAAAGTGACCCAAATGAACAGGTACCTCGAGGAGTTCTTACCCGAGTGAGTGCTCAAACCGGTTGTGCGCAGCTGATGGGAACACATAGTAGGTGCCACCCAGCTGTTTGATGTGCCGCAGTCGCTGAAACTGTGGTGTGTCGATCACCAAAACACAGAGCGGGTGCAGCTCAAAGTGTCCATGTACGCTGTCATTAAACACCTTCCAGCCAGTTGTTGCCTCCATCTCTGAAACCAAAGTCATGTTGGACGTTAGTACTCAGTCACATTGGAATACCAATACCTACTTCAACTTGGGAATACTGATAGATGTTTACACACTGCACTAACAGGTTTCCACTTCAGATTGGCCTTGGCAATGAATTAGGTGCCATTTCAGTAGAAATTGTCAAAATCCAGAGCTCTGTTCAGTGTTCGGTCACTGTTTTTAAATCAGCATGCTGTCGGTTTTTGTCGGTTTTCCGCCATTGCTGGCGCTTCTTGGCCTCTCATTGGTCTAACGAATAGACCACCTGAATTCGACCAATGAGGACGAGGAGCCAAGGAGTAGCAGCATGCTCACAGCCTGCTGATAAAAAACGGGGGGCGAACAGCGCCCAGGTGAACATAAATAGTGAATTATAGTGTACAAAACAGACTGATCGTCTGAACCAAGGTCTGAAACAAGTCTACTCTGACTCTGAACACCTGGTTTACTCACCTGGTGCCATTTCAGTAGTAATTATACAGATCTTGGTCAGATCTTTCAATTGAACAGATCATTTTTTGACTGTTTTTAAAATAAATTGAAATGAAATAAGCCCATAACCTAACACACGTTGACGTTGTTGAACCCTTAGCTCGACCCCATTTGGATGGTTAACAAAAAGTATAATGGATGAAGATTTGCGCCACCGAAATTTGTCCACTGGATATGAGATATCCCGTCCTAAAGGTATATAAAACAGTACGGACTTCTATATAGGGCCTTGGTACGGACTACGGAAACTTGACGGAAACTGGACGGAAACACGGAAACTTTTTTGGACGGGCTTGCCCGTGTGGAAATCCAATCCCAAGGCCGTTAGAAATCCCCTTTCGTTGAATATCCAAACGATCCAAACAACATCCAAAAATGACGTCAAATAAATTAAAAACGGTTAAGTTATCAGTTATTTCATACAACAATATAATATATTCATTACAATATTTGCATTCTAAATAAACTAAATATTTCCTAGCTTTAATGGTCCAAAATAGCTTTTTAAAAGTGCCCTTACGACACTATTTAAGCCATTTAAGCCCTTTCTGGGTAATGGGCATGTGCGCCGAAAATGTATCAGCGTCAGTGGTCAATGCTCGTGTTGATATTCCGTGCAGGGTATATTCCGTGCAAATTTCCGATTCCGATTCCGTGCAAATTTGTTGATCTCGTGTTTTGCACGGTGACATGAATTGAAATTCATTTTCAAACCTACATCGTCTTGATACGGCCCTGGAATCTGGATCGGTGGGATATTGGATACAAATTGTGATCTTAGGTCAAGGTAGGCTAATATAATAGCAGGTGCCTATCTATCTGATTGAGGCTGATTTGAGCTCAGGCAACTGACCAGCTTATACAGTTGCCTGGTGAGGCATTATCTGAGGCGCCGGTGGTGACGGCTCTGGCTTCGGCGGAGTTGGAGTCTGAGTTCAAGAAATTTGCATGTGACATGCATGTGACTGCATGAACGGACAACGTCAACACTACGTCTACTTGTCGTCCGCGTCTGCTCATCTGCCTCTGCATGCCTGGTTGCTAGTACCATTTGTGTCTTCCTTGGACTCCTTGCTTGTCTGCTGCACATGCTAGTGCTCTGCAACTGGGCCCTGCCTTCCCCTGCCTCAGCCAAGCTTTCCACACCCTGCTAGCCTGTGACGCGCCAAGCTCGATTGCAAGAGGGCTGCTGCCTGGCTGGTTTTGACAAGGACAATGCGCAGAGGGTCTCGGAATGCCAGGGGTGCTGGCAGGCGTGGGAGAAGCGCAAGTGTCACTGGTGCTGGTGTACTTAGGGGAGAAGAGTGTCTATGCGGTACATGTGGGGATGATGTGGGAAATGACCCCATAGGGTGCGACAAATGTGAACAATGGGTCCATGGGAATGAAATGTGCTCAGGTCTACCTCAGGAGCTCATTGAGGCTATAATGAAATATGAGGGTAAAGGAATCCAATTCATGTGCATGAAGTGCCAGGTACAACATGTTGAGAATCGTGGTAAATCTCCCTCTAGCCATACTGAACCACATCTAGCCGAGACAGTCAGTCACTTATTCAATCAAGTCAAAGGGATCTGTTCTGCCATTCGAGATCTCGCATCTCAGGTTAAGACCCTGTCTGCTAAGACTGAGAAAACATGCCCCTGTGATGCTGCTGTACACACCCAAACCCAAGCTGCAGCACCACAACAACCACAGCCTCATCAACCACAGCAGCAACAGGACTATCGCACCATGATACGTGAGGAGCTCAAGGAGCAGAAAGAGCGTGAAAAGCGACGATCCTTTCTCATTGTCAGGGGTCTTCCTGCTAACTCAGCCTCAGAATTTATCAGGAAGTTTGCTCAGCTCACTGATGACTGCATGGGAATGAGGGTTGAGCCATCTGAAGCCTTTGCTATAACTGGTCACTCAAACTTCTATCGCATCAGGGTACCAGATGATGACCAACGCAAAGAGATCCTGGAGAAGGCAAAGCAACTAAAAGGCTCTCGATATGACAAAGTTTTTGTCAACAGGGACCTGACTTATTCACAGAGAACCGAGCTCTACCATCGTCGCCAGGCCCGCCGGCAGCAGGAGCCTGGGTTGAGAGCTGGGGACCAGAGACCTGTGGATGTTCTTAATGATGCTCCACGTCAACAGGCTGCTCTCCCACAAGCTGCCGCTGGTGCCCCTGCCCCTGCCCCAGCTAACGCGTCTACCCAAGCGGGTTCGGGAAACTAGCTCCCAGCCTGCAGACTGCCTCAGTGATCCGGATTGCTCAAGTCAATGTTAATGGTTTGCCATCCAAGATGAATCAGCTTAACAACTTTGCCAAACTCCATGACCTTGATATTGTATGTATAACTGAGTCACATCTTCTTAACCACACAAAGGATTCATTTGTACAGATGCCTGGATATTCACTTATTCGGAATGATGTTGCTGGTACTGTCTACAAGCATGGTGTTTGTGTATATGTGAGAGAAAATGTTGTTACAAATGGTGTCACAACTCCTGTCCCAAATGTGCTAACTTTCTGCTTGACTATCTACAACACTTATGTAGTAGTTGTTTACAGACCGCCTTCAAACTTGGAAGCTGAGAATACCATGCTGATGTCTTTCCTTTCAGACTTCTGCACTGACAGAGAGGTGATTGTTTTGGGAGATTTCAATCTGCCAAACATTGACTGGGATGCTCCAAATGGGTTTCAGAACTGTTCAATGCTCGAGAGAGATTTCTGCAATCTATTCAGCCTTGCCGGTCTTACTCAATGGGTCACCCAACCAACCTACCCCAGATCAGGAAACATCCTTGATTTGGTACTGACTTCTGAGACAGACCGCCTTGGACTGTTGGAGGTTTGTCCCCCACTCCCAGGTTGCGATCATTGCCCAACTCTTTTTGATTATATATTTGAGATGCAAAGTACAAATGTGCCCTCAGGTCCCCCACAGATGAGCAGGAGAGCCTGGAGCAGAGGTCGTTATGAACTGATGTGCCAGAGACTAAGGACTATTGACTGGGATTTTGAATTAGCACATCGTGATTGCAATGATTCCTTCAACCACTTTACTAAGCTTATCTGTGATTTGACAGACGAGTTTGTACCTGAACAGACATCAAACAGAGGTAAACCATCCTGGCAAAAGAGACCCCCTACTAGTCTAATGCACCGTCGGCGCAGGGCATGGCAGACCTACAAATTAGTAAGGGAACGTAAAGGGAGAAAAGCTCATGAGTCTCGCATGGCCTATCAAGAGTTTGCTTCTGTCAATAAGGAGTTAAAAGGGTTTGCTGTGAGATCCCAGAGTCTGTATGAAGCTAGCCTAATGGAGAGGTCCGCTGAAAACCCTAAACTCCTGCACTCCTACATCAGATCCAAGAAGGTGGGATGCCCATCTGTTGGCCCCCTGCTTCTCCAATCTGGGGAAGTGAGTGATGACGCCCAGGCTATGACTGAAGTGTTTGCCACCTCTTTTGCATCGGTGTATTCGACTAACTCACCAACCAACCCTGCCCCTCACCAGGAGTTTGACGGGTCACTTCAAAATGTTGACCTGACGACCGAAGACATTTGCTCTGCGCTGATGGCCCTTGACCCACACTCAGCCATGGGCCCTGACAGACTGAATCCCTTGGTACTTAGGCGTTGTGCTGCAGAACTGGCTCGTCCCTTACTCATGATTTTTTCCAGATCTCTCCAGGAAGGCCAACTGCCTGTCCTATGGAAGCTGTCCCATGTTATACCGATATTCAAAAAAGGCCGACGATATGATCCACTTAATTACAGGCCCATCAGTTTAACTTCTGTGGTGTGCAAGAGCATGGAACGAATTATTTGTGCCAAACTTCGTGACTACTTGGAATCAAATGACTTACTGACACCAAATCAGTTTGGTTTCAGGGCAGGCAGGTCAACTATTGATCAGCTGTTACTTGTGTATAACGCCGTTTCGAGAGCAGCTGACATGGGTGGAGTCACAGATGTAATATTCTTCGATTTCAGCAAGGCGTTTGATGTGGTCTGTCACGATTTGATGATTGCTAAGCTGAGGTCTCTGGGTATCCATGGCCGTTTGCTTGATTGGCTTTCCTCATTCCTATATGGCAGGGAGATGCAGGTTTGTGTTAAGGACTGTAGGAGCCGGCCAAGGAATGTCCTTAGTGGTGTCCCACAGGGTAGTGTCCTTGGACCACTTCTGTTCCTAGTATATGTGAACAGCATAGCCTCACAGTTAACAAGCAGTTATAAAATTTTCGCCGATGATCTTAAAATGTATGCCTGTGTGTCTCATGCTCCCGCTCTATCAACACTGTCTCATTATCAACATGTGCAGAAAGACATCGACCTCTTACACACCACAGCAGCATCATGGGGTCTTAGAATGAACTCCGATAAATGTGTCGTGCTAAGATTTGCCAACTCTAGATCAAAGCTAGTCTCTCCAGAGTACTTCCTTGACGGCCAACAGATCCCTTCTGCTGAGAGCCATCTGGACTTGGGCGTTACCGTTGACTGCCAATTAAAGTTTCACGAGCACATCAGGGGTGTGGTTCGTAAGGCTAGTGGTTTGGCACAGAATCTGTTAAAGTCGACTGTCTGCCGATCGCGTGAATTCATGTTGTTTCTATTGCTTACTCATATTCGTCCAATGCTTGAATATTGCTCTTGTGTCTGGTACACTGGCTACATAGAGGATATGCGACTCTTGGAGAGGGTTCAGCGACGTTGGACCAAGCGAATCGATGGGCTAGCCTCATTGAGCTACGCTGATCGCTTGCAGGAGCTGAACTTGTATTCGGTTCAGGGTCGATTGACACGCGCTGATCTCATTCAGTGTTGGAAAATCTTCAATAGGAAGTCTTGCATTGCTCCTGATGAACTGTTTAGCCTGTGTCCCCAAACTCGCACCAGAGGTCACTGTCACAAGATCTTTCCCTTGCACTCACGCACAGATGTTAGGAAGCGTTTTTTCACTGTGAGGTGTATGCGTCTTTGGAATGCCCTACCCGCAGAGGCGGTATGTGCCCCAAACCTATCTAGGTTCAAGGAGGTCCTGCATGACACTTTGCATGGGAGTTTGTTCGCCTATGTCTAACGTTGCTTGAACAACTGTACAAAACTTTAGCGCGCTGCATATTCTGCCGGCCTCTCTGCACTGTATTCATTTTCTTTTTCTTTTTTGTCTCTGTGAAAAACCACAGTGTGTTTGTACATGCATACACGCCGGACTCAACGGAAGACGCTAAATTCCAGCTTTCTGCGCTCGCCAACCACAAGTGAAGATCTCCCCCGGCTGGCGCGTCTAGGATTCAGGGTTCCTGTCTGTCCTACTCTTTCCTTCCATCTACATTTCTTGACACTGGGAACCCAACCAGGTGAGTCAACCAGGTGAGTCAATCTAAAGAAATGTGTGTCAGCTAGTCAGTGTGTGTGTTTTGAATGTGACAAAAGTAGGTACTAAGTAGCATGCATGACCCGAGGGCTGTTCACGGGCCCTGTGTGCGGTCGGACCGTACACAGCCTCCAAGCTCCGCCCACTGCGTCCCTACGTCAGCCTACCGTCACTGCACACAGCGGCCGGTCGGGACTGGCCACAGCGGACCGTCCACCGCATGCAGCCGTGATGTCAGAACCGCCTACCCATCCCCTACCCCCACACCTGCTGCACACACCTCACACACCGCACGCAGCAGTGTGCAGTGCCCTGAACACCCCTCTGGCCGTGCTCTGTGGTGTACATTACAATAAGCAGGCTTTTTTAACCTTCAGATGGCAGGGTTCACAAGGACAGAGCCCCTTCTAAGCAGAGCTTGTTGCATGCACCCTGCCCTTTATCCTCTGATCAGGGGCGTAGCCAGGATTTCCTCAAAGGGACCAAACTTACAGGGGCCCAAGGTAACCCCCTTAAAAATCAAAAGACTCATCAGATTTCATCCCCTATTTTTTTTCGATGGGGCCCAAATAAATAGGAAAATGTTTATTTAAAAAAAAAAATGTTAGAACTGGGGGGCCAAGCAGTCCATGGGCACCTGCCAGATAGGCCCACGAATAGTTTCATAAGTCGCTCAGCCGGTTCTGAGGGCGGTCTGAGGCCAGACTGGAAAAATACAAGTTATGCCAAATATGTCTGGTGTAGTAGCGGGATTGCGCCGAAAATTTCAGCGCACGTCCAGCGTAACTTCGCATGCGCCGAATTCAGGGCATGGCGCGGACTAATTTTTCGGCGCAGGGTGGTCGCATAATTTTTTGGCGAAAGACGGTCCCCAAATGTATGTGGTATGCTGGTCAATCTAGCAGCAGATTCGCCCCGCGGGCGGCTCTGGAGAGGTTTCGGGACGTCACGAGACGTCCCCGCCCCGGTCGTCGCGTACTCGAGTCTCGCACTGGCGAGCCGCCCCGAGTGTACTCAGCGCAAGGCCATATAACCACTCAGCGGTGGAGCGGCCGCCCAGGTGAGGCCTCAATCTTTGGCGTGGAGATAGGTATGGAAGACCTTGTTGAACATCGCCAAGTATCGTTAAGCAATACTGCGGTGGGTTCCAGACCTGCCCACTGCGGTGTCGAGGGGAATGAGAGCGCGGACGACCTGGCAAAACCGGCGGCCGCCCTGCCCTCAAACGCCCACTCGCTGATCACGGTGGATCACGGCGGCGACCAGGGGCCCGCAAGCGACGAGTCACCAGAGACCCCGCCCCCTAGGCGACCAGAGGCTCCAGGAAACCAGGGGCCCTCGGATGACTGCAGGGGCCCATTGGGTCATCAGGGGCACCTCGGGTAACTAGGGCCACAAAAATGAAACTTTGATATCAATTTTCTTCCGAGTAAAAGGCGTTTTATCCAGTGTTTGAAAATATCCCGGGGCCTGAGGGGGCCCCCATCGCGCCTTCGGCGCTCAAGGGAGACCATTGCCTCTGTGCGCCCCCCCCCCCCTTGGCTACGCCTCTGATGGCCTTAGCTTCGACAAAGCATGATGTGAAAAGGTCAACGGGCATGATGTTGTCAAGTAAGCAGGTATAGGGCCTGCTTTTGGACCATGCGGTGTTAACTCCGACTTCGGAGTCGGAGTCGGTAGGATTTTGGCGACTCCGACTCCGGGCAGAACTTCGACTCCGACTCCGACTCCGCAGCCCTGGTCTGTGGAGTGTGATGTCATTCACAACAAACGCTATTTATTTACAAAGTAGGTACTTAGTGAGGCTCCCGGGCCCACAGCCACTCGTTCTTCCATTCGGTCAAAATTTGTATACCTATCTAAGATAAAAAACTGCTGCTGACAGCAGACAGCAACAGACCAAATAGTGTTTTGCCAGCAACCAATTAAATGCGACTTGCGAGCGTCATCGTCAGTGCATTATGAGTGTTTGAATTTCAACATATTCAGAAGTGTTTCCAAAATTCGTTTTTATTGGTAGCGATTTGCAGGTAACCAAGGACCACGTAGCAGTTTTGCAATTTAGAAAAGGTGTGTAGGGGTGGTCGGTGGATTCTGTTGTCATTTCTATTGAATTGTAGCCAGCGAGTGGCCATAAACGGACAACTATCTAAGTGGAGGTAGGTAGCAAGTGGAGTACCCCGGGGCTCTGTCTTGACTCTTGGGTCTGCTTCTTTTTTGTTTTTCGTTACCAATCTGCCTGACATGGTTCGATCGTCCATAAAGTTGTTTGTAGACTGGTTAAAGTGGCTGCGGCTGCTTCCACCAACCGCAGACCAACCCTGCCAGGGCCCTGTTTCACTCACCGCCCGACGCTGCGCGCGCTGCAGCGCGCTGGGAGCTGAGGCATACCCCTGACGTCACTCAAATGACGTTGCCTGTGATCCGTTAGCTTATGATGAATCGCATTTGGAACAGAGGTCCTAAAGAACCAAGTACTGAGAGAACAGAGGTTTGAGTGCGAATGCTGCTAGCGTGCTGATGGTGCTGGCGCTTGGGTGCTAGCGTTTTGCGATGACGTCATAGCGTAGCGTCAGAGGGAAGTTTGTTGATATTGCCATGGAAACCAGGGCTGCGGAGTCGGAGTCGGAGTCGGAGTCGGTCGGAGTCGACAGTTGTGACCGGAGTCGGAGTCGGAGTCGGAGTCGATTTTAGAAACCCCAGCCGGAGTCGGAGTCGGAGTCACCGAAAATCTGTCGACTCCGCAGCCCTCCTAGGTCTGCGGAGTCGGAGTCGGGAGTTGGAGTCGGTCGGAGTCGACAATTCTGCCCGGAGTCGGAGTCGGAGCTGGTTTTTGAAAGCCGGAGTCAGAGTCGGAGTCGGAGTCGCCGAAAATCCATCGACTCCGCAGCCCTGATGGAAACCCAACGCTCCGACGCGCGCAGCGCACTGCAGCGCTCCGCCGTGAAACAGGGCCCAGGAGTCTCGTATTGATCGCCGGAGTGGCTCGAACCCATTGCCGGGCTCCCACTGCTGGGGGTCCAACGCTCTACCAACTGAATTGCGGGATGGAGCCGTCATTTGTTGAATAGAAAGAGAGAAATGTTTCCCTGAGCCATTGCGGACAACTACATCGTCATATCACGCCAAGTTTTGCTATCTTTTTTCATCCCCAAACAGTTATTAATATCCCAGAAACTTTCTATGCACAATCACATACCTGGCTTCTTACCATTGAGTGCAGTGGTTTGGAAGTTGTGCTGCAGCCGTGAGCTCCTCAGCTGTACTGGGCCTCGCGCTGGGCCTCGCACTGAACTACTGTAATCATGGGCCGGGCGCCGAGGTTTATATACGCAAGGCGCCCGGGGCGCGCCTCGGCCGACCAATGCGTGACGGGTGAATCAATCGGGGATCACCGTGTTGCAGGGAGTCATGTCTGGCGGAGGGTTAGAAGAGATTGGTATTCCCGGAAAGGAATACCTCCGGAAGGCGCTCACAAGCTGTTCAGATCCGCTAAAAGCCATCAGTGACTTTCAGGTAAGTGCAACAGGGCACAGTATGTACTTGTAATTACCCATCTGTGTCAAGTTTTTGCGTAAGAAGTATGTATTGTATTTCTCGTGATCTTCCAGGTACGCCGTACGACTGAACTACTTCTAGTCTAGGTCAACAAGTGTGAATGAACAAGTCTATTAGTACATAATATAAGCATAAAGGTGTAACTACCATGCTACAGTCTTTCTTCACTAATGCGCGCGTCCATGCCATGTCAGCTTCTTGTCCACCGGCGATCAGTTACCTAACCGTTTGGATGGAGTCGAGCGGTTATGAGAACAAGACAATTATTTTCTATTGATTACTGACCAGTAGCAGATGTGTGACTGTGTTCTGCTAAGTTCCTCCCCCATTTGGTCTATGCAGGCAGAGAATGGCATTCTTCTTCCATCGTTGAGACCTATGCTCCCTCTGCTGGATCTCCATGGCGTCAAACGGTTCGAATTTCACACGTCTGTGATGGAGGTATGCAGTGCACCTGCGTCACAAACTGAGCAATTTGCATCATTCTTCATATTTGTTGTTGTCGAAAAACAACACTGAGTCGTCATTAGGCTACACTAGATTCCGGTTATTCCCTTATCTTTGTTTGCGGATTACTTGTTTTCCAAATCTTGCTAGATTCATCGTTTGGGTTTCCCAGATTGTGATTCCCTAAAGTTGTTCAAGCGAGCAGGCCCGTCCAGATGTTTGTTTACTGTTGCCTTTGGTAAATTACTCTTTCGTCAGTCGTCACGCTTGCCAATGATTCAGTTTTATATGGATGTGTCACAAAGTCGTTACATTTACGGCAGGCACATAATGCAAGTCGTTACGGCAGGCACACATGTAGTCGTTAGGTAGGTACATATACATTAATGCAAGATCATTTATTATAACGTTATTGTTTTTCCAGAGCCTTTGCGATAAGCTGATCCAGCAGATAAACGACATCGGTAAGCTGGAGGGTCGCGAGCGGGACAGGAAGCTGCGCGACCTGTTGCACAAGTCGTTCCCGGTGATTCGTTTCAAGACGCTGCGTCCGATCGTCATGGCCATCCTGAAACACACGCGGGAGGTGGATCACAAGTTCCTGAAAGTGCTGGTGAGTGTTCACTGCCCAGGGCTGGGCCGCTGGGCGCTCGGGCTGTGGAGTAGTGAGTATCCGCCGTGTACTCAAGTTGACCCAGCGGCTAGCAGTCTCCAGAAGCTCCTGGATATATATTGTGCAGTTGAATGAATCTGCAACTGCAGATTCATATTTCACTGGAGATGAATCGCAAGTTCTTGAAACTTACCGTTAATATTATCCAGTACAAGATTTCCATGTTTCTGGGGGCACTTAAGTCACATGTTGTTGCTTGTTGGCGTAACCTGTGGTGCGTGTTTGATCAGCTGCAGTGTCCTATTATGGGACTGACTGATGCATTGCTCCCCGATGACTGGTGCTGGACGCTCTGTTTCGGGGGGCTGGCGGGGGCATCATGCTGCCTGTCTCAGGGCCCTAACGATGTGACCCTCCCCCCTTTCGTGCTCAGGTACGTGACAAGGAGCTCTACAACGACCTGGACACGGAGGTGAAGCGTCAGATCTGGACCGACCACCAGACCCTGTTCGGTGACGAGGTTTCCCCGCTGTTCATCCGCTACGTACAGCAGAAGGAGGCGGCGCTGCTTACTCACACCAACCTGAACAACTTCTTCGACCTCACGCCGAAGGTGGGACGAACATGGTGTTTATTGTATGAGCTGTGCACTGAACTGTGACGAAATGGTCCCTTGGCTCAGACTCATGACGCAGAGTTTTGGTATTTAAAATTCCTTTCAGTCTAATACGCCAGCTGCTCTTTTTACCTGAAATTCACTCAATGATTTGATAAATCTGAACCATATGCTTATGAACATACCTTTGAACAGAGATAATTATTATAGGATAGCACTTGAATGACCTTTAAGTATAATATTTGTTTCATTTTGTAACCTTTAAAGTGCATCCGGCACGGGAAAGGATCACTTTTAAGTAGCACATGGTAGGACTTTAAATGACTATATCGACATGCAAACATTTGGTTTGCATCGAGTCCTGATATGACGAACTGCGCTGAACCGGAATCGGCGCGCTATTGTAGCTAGAGAAATGTTTGTAGTTTGCGTTTGAACGACGTGTGATTTTGTCTATCCTTTCCTGCCGATCAACTGGTTTACACAGCTGTGTAGTGTACTGTTGTCACGCAGACCTGGATCGTATGTTAGGGGTGACGAGCGTTCGTTTTGCTTGTGGTCCCTCTTGCACACTCTATGTTGATCAGACTTTGGTCAGGGTGCTGTGGCCCAGAAGCTGAGGGCATTTCCTCTCTTTTATCAGGCAGGCAGTCTCTCAGCACTGGCATTTCCTTAACCCTATCAGCCAGTGATACGTATATGGAGGCTATCGACATTGAGTCCGCCCAGGCAATCGAAAACAGCGTGACACGGTGACATTTCCTTCCACCGGCGGCCTCTCGGGCCGCCAATCTCACCAGCTTCTGCAATCGCCCGCCCGGAGTGGCATTGCTAAACCCGTGCTAAGACAAGCAGTACCGTAACAAAATGAACATGACGCCGGTCGCTCTCCGTTTTCTGAGGGAGTTCAGGGAGTTGAGGGAGGGAGGGAGGGAGTTGAGGGAGTTCGACGGTCGCAATGCACCATGCGGTTTCAGCAAGCCATATTCGGAGCGGCGTGCTCGCCGTTCTTGCTGATCGCGACCATCCAGTACCATATGGAAAAGTGTCCGCCCTCCCTCGCTGTTCCAGAGCTCACTCCAGACTTCTCTTCACACGGATGATTGTGTGTCTTGGATAGGATACAGAGCAGGGGCTCGTGAGCTGCTGACTGAGGACCAGTCTTTCCTCAGTGACGTTGGGACGGAACTCACGAAATGTTTTCTGGTAGTGAGCTCGTGCCACGCGCTGACTGGCATGCCTGAGGACGGGAGTGTGAAGGTTTTCGGGCTGAGGTGGCTACCGGTGATCGTGTTTGAGGGTGTCCGCCCGCCTGGCAATCAATCAATCAATCAATCAATCAATCAATCATGTATTGAGTCCTCCATGTGAATGGTTTTTCAGTGCTCTCGTCATACAATCATTCACAATCTATAAAACTACAAGTGGGTATAAAACACACATCAATAAGAATGACGCACAGTATAAAAGTAAAGAGAATTGTCTGTACCAGTAAGATACTCAGATGGCAAAATGTGAAGTTAAGAATGCACAATACGCGGGTAAAAAGTAGACAAAGTAAATAAAAGTGAGCAGCGCAAAAAAAAATCATCACAAAATACATCACAGCTTGTTTGCCAGAAAGCTAACGATGGAGACCGTTCCACGATTTTACTGCTCTAAAATGAAAAGTACGCCTAGCTCGCTCTGTTCTAATTTTAGGCAGGTCCAGCTGATCCCCACATGTGCCGCGAGTGAGCCTCCTATTCACATCAGAGCGACGCATCACGAGTCCAGCTAGAGATGGCGGCGCATCCGACGAGAGAATCCTACGCAGCATCGCTATGTCTCGGTCCTCCAACATCTTGTCAAACTTCGGCCATTCGAGAGCTTCCAGAGCTGCGCTATGTTGTGATCCCACCAAGCGTGTCTTGTTGGTTCTGATAGCGAGGCCGTTTGACTCCATGCGGTGTTCGGATCCCCAGTCCCCACTCGACGGTAGCAAAGTTGCTGTTTCGGGAGCTGTGCAGATCAGTCTGGGCTGGGATGAGGTCTTCTAAGCTCTGTGATGTGTTGTCTGACTGGATGAGAGGCCTAGAGGTCCTGAAGCAGATGGATATCCTTCGGAGATACTTAGGTCAGGTTGGAACGGTGCGGAGAGCAGGAACCTTTACGCTTTGGCGACGCCTCGCCGAAGGGCTACGGTGCGTTGGTTTATTTGTGTGCCCCTCGTGGAGATGGCTACAACCTCCGTCTTGAAGTCAGACTTTGAACTGGCTACTGTAACTCCGAAGCCGATGGCATTTCCTTAACCCTATCAGGCAGGCAGTCTCCCAACACTGACATTTCCTCAGCCTATCAGCCAGTGATACGTATATGTATGGTGGCTATCGACACGTCCGCCCAGGCAATCGAAAACAACGTGACACGGTGACATTTCCTTCCACCGGCGGCCTCTCGGGCTGCCAATCTCACCAGCCTCTGCAATCGCCCGCCCTGAGTGGCATTGCTAAACCTGTGCAAAGACAGGCAATACCAGGGCGCAAAAGTCTCAAGGGGTACAATCGGCCTTGATTGTGGCCAGGGAATGGTGCAATGTGCAATGTTCCTGCTGTGACTCAGTCCGCACAGAGAACCCGTAGTTTAAGCTTTAAAGCGACTGTACCGCGGTCAATTAGTTCAGCTGACCACTGACAATGACTGGATGGACATGCTACCAACAGTTACCGGGTAGCCGATACAGTAACCTCACTAAGACTAACCGTATGGTCTGGCTGGATCAGCTGTGTGTAGATCTACCATCTCCACGCCGTCGTTGGTTCGCTCCGCCGTGTAAAGTCCTCGCTGACTAGCGTTCTCTCTCACTTCCTATATCATCCCCCACTGGTGGACAGGGTCACTTCCCAGTTCATCCTCTGACTAGTGGGCTGAGTCGTTCGCCGAGTCATCTCCCACTAACCATGGGGTGGTTCCGCCAGGGTGTCTCCCCCGCTGACAGTTGGGTTCGTATCTTATCCGGCAGGTCCGCAGACAGGGCGAGATCATCCAGAAGATCGTGCATATGATCGGACATAGCGTCAAATTGTATGACATGGTGCTCCAGTTTCTACGCACGCTGTTTGTCAAGACGAGGAACGTGCACTACTGCACGCTGCGCGCGGAGCTCCTGATGGCCCTGCATGACCTCGAAATTCAGGTGAGATCAGCCGTGCTGGGACGGTACACGTGCTGCTAGGATCAAGATAGTAGAAGCGTATGCCATGACCATGTTCAGTTCCAGGTGAGATCAACCGTGCGTGGATGGTACTTGGACTGGTAGGATCGAGAGAGCAGAATCGTGTGCCATGACCTTGAAATCTAGTTAGGGCCAGCCTTTCAAGGATGGTACTCGTGCTGGTAGGGTTGTGCCACCGCCTCGAGGTCTAGGTGAGGTCAGCCACCCCAGGACGGTATACGCTACACGCGCTACAAGGAGGGATGCGGAGCCGGAGCCGGAGCCGCCGGAGCCGGCATATTTTGGCCGGAGCCGGAGCCGGAGCCGTGAAACAATATAGCCCGGAGCCGGAGCCGGAGCCGGAGCCGTCCAAAAAGGGGGCGACTCCGGCTCCTTTTCTTAAGAGGAAACAATTATTTACCTAGTTCGGTTTGACAGTACAATGCGTTAAACAATGTGGTATTCAAAATAGCCTTGTTTTACAAATACAGAAGCAACGTGTACCAATCCCATCGCCTTTTTACTTTCACCCGTATTTAATTGATCGCATAGGGGATGTACTGAGTAGAAGCCGGAGCCGGAGCCGCCGGAGCCGGATCATTTTACTCGGAGCCGGAGCCGGAGCCGGAGCCGCCATGACATTTCACCCGGAGCCGGAGCCGATTTTTTCTCCGGAGCCGGAGCCGGAGCCGGAGCCGTCTGAAATTTCCACGGCTCCGCATCCCTGGCTACAAGGGTTATGAGTGAAGGACAGGCCGGAGTGCGTGTCTATTTGCCTGTGCCTGTTCCTAACTGTTTCACGGCCATATATCAATCAGAGTTAAATTTTATCTGAACTTTGTACTTGAGAAACGTCTGTTATATCTCTCTCACTCCAACATATTTCTCTATTTCTCTCACTTCCTCTGGGACGAGTCTTACTCGGCGCTCAGTCTTGTCACAACTCACAAGCTAACCATTTGTTTTGTCCTTTCTCTGCACACAGGAGATCGTTGACCTGGACCCGTGCCACAAGTTCACCTGGTGTCTGGACGCCTGTATTCGTGAGCGGAGCGTCGACACCAAGCGAGGCAGGGAACTGCAGGGGTTCCTGGACAGCATCAAAAAGGGAAACGAACAGGTGAGGGATTTTGAGCACATGTGAGCTGGGAGAATGACCGTGTTGAGACGTGTGATAGTTGGTTGGTGACTGATTGATTGATTTGTCAGGGGAAGACCACGCCAGATCATTTTACACTCGTTTTTGAAAATGCGTTCAGCCACCACCGTCATGCGTAGGTATGCGACCTCTGCAGCTGGCCTGTTTTGCTATCTCTTCTTTGCAGCCAGCACCTGTGTGGGTATCTTGTGCGCTGTAAGCCACCTTTTCTCATGTGCTTTATATTACGACGCTGACGTTTCTGTGTTTGCGTTTTGTGCAGATTCTCAGCGACCTGTCGATGATCCTGTGCGACCCGTTCGCTGTCAACTTCCTGGCCACGTCGGCGCTGAAGATCCTGACGCAGCTTATCAACAGCGAGGGCATGCCGCGCGACCACGCCGTGCTGCTGCTGCTACTGCGGATGCTGGAGCTGGGCCTGCACGCCTGGGACATGATCGATAGACAGGTCAGCTGGGGTTATGGGGAATCGACAGCCAGGTCAGGGGTCACTGGGGGGGGGAGAGGAAGGGGTTCCAGGCATGTTAGCCATAACTGCCGGGGGGACTGCGAAGTTCGAGCAGTCGCTGGCTCACTTTCTTGTAACCCCTGGGTCCCCTACCAGAACTTTAGACGCGCCCGTCGCTCGATATCCGTATGTCTGGGGGAGGGGGCTTATCACCCATTCTATCTCTTCACGTGTCCGTGAGGGTATTATGACAGCTTTGCAGCTAAAGCCTTCGTGTATTTTGTAGCCCTCGTAATTTGCCTCACAGAAGTCTCCGTACTTTTGTTATCCTGCGTTTATATTGTGTGGTGCTGCTCTATCCTTTCGTTACGCTCACAAAATGTATTTGCCGTCCTCCACTAATTACAGTTTCTGCAGATATTTAATCAGGAACTCTGTGAATCTCTCTCTCTCTCTCTCTCTCTCTCTCTCTCTCTCTCTCTCTCTCTCTCTCTCTCTCTCTCTCTCTCTCTCTCTCTCTCTCTCTCTCTCTCTCTCTCTCTCTCTCTCTCTCTCTCCCTCTCCCTCTCCCTCTCCCTCTCCCTCTCCCTCTCCCTCTCCCTCTCCCTCTCCCTCTCCCCCTCCCCCTCCCCCTCCCCCTCCCTCTCCCTCTGCAGCACCCGGTGACCGTTCTCGCACCCTCCTCCCCTCCACAGGAGTTCCGTGAGCCACGGCTAGACCCGCAGGTGGTTACCAAGTTCGTACCCTCGCTAGTCTCCCTGATTGTGGACGACCAGGTGCGGGCGCTCAACCAGCGCCTACCGCCCGACGAGCGCGCCTCGGCCATCACCATCATCGAACACTCTGGTAGGTGCGGGGTCAGCAGTGGACCGCTCCGCCACAGAACTCGCGTGGGACTCTGAATGGATTGGTGTGGTGTCTGAGTGGCACTGTGGTGATGTTGAGCTGTCCTTATTTGGCGGTGGACGGTTTTGGGGATCTGATTGCGACATGATTGCTACCCTGTCTTCCCGTGACGGGTGACAAGGAACGACTGACCTATGAGGCTATTACCCATGCATCCTTGACTTGACAATTGCCAGGACGTCTGCCTTTTCTTTCCCTAACGGCTGTCCGGTGACCTTTGAATGCTCGTGACCTGCCTGCTGAGTGCTGACCTGTGATCGTCACCGTCCGCACAGGTCCGCCGCCGGACGCCTACCAGGCGTACATCACCGAATCGAGCGTAGCCTGCCTGCTGGCCGTCTACTACACGCTGCAGACGGCCAGGAGCCGCGACCGGGTGGGCCTGATGCGGGTACTCGGCTGTCTCTCGGCCAGCGAGGGAGATCGCGCCTTCGAGGACACGTTCCTTCACTCGCTGGTGAGTAGTGAGTGACTTGGAGGGGTGTAAAGTGCTGGAATGGGGGAGGAAGCTGTTCCGTACAGACTTGTTGTGAAGAAATGTTTAGATGTGCATCAGCCCTGCCCGGACTTCGCAGAGCTTGCTGGTTCGCCTTTTGAAAACGTATGCTCGTTAGAAGATATTGACACCGTGTCAATGCCGTCAATAATTGATACTTTTTCAACAATCGTTGCGAACAATGGCAGCTCGATAACGTTGGTTCTTGGTTACGAACATGAGTGCCAGGGCATTGACCATATTTCCACATCTGGCCAACATATGATTTTTTTTTTCTTTACCTCGCCCGAAATATTTATCTCGCCACTGTTACTGTTTCGCGATCACCAGTTGGCGTTCATCGCCTGCTCCGCAGGTGCCGCTTCGAATCGGACTTGTTCCCCAGGCGACGCTCCTGATCGGTCTGACTCTGACTTTTTGTTCCCCCACAGCTGCTTCTGATCGGTCCCCAGGCGACGCTTGTAATTGGTCCCCAAGCGACGCTTGTAATTGGTCTCCAGGCTTCTGATCGGTATGACTTGTTTCCCAGGTGACGCTTCTGATTGTTTGCCAGGTGACGCTTCTGATCGGTATGAGTGACGAGCTGGCCACGGAGGACTTTTGCACGGTCATCTTCGACGAGTTCTTTTTCACGGCGCTCTCCAAGGAGAACGTGGTGCAGCAGCTGGGGAAGCTGCTGTGGCACACGCACGCCAAGCTGCCGACGGCGCGGCGTGACACCCTGATGCAGGCGCTCCACCACCAGCCCAACCTCAGGGTGAGTGACTGGGGGAGGGAGGGGATCAGTTCTGCCCGCTCCACCACCAGCTCGAATCTCAGGGAGAGAGGGAGGGAGGGGGATCAGTTCAGCTGCCCAGCCCGCCTCACCACCAGCCCCATCTCAGGTAGAGGACGAGGGAGGGGCATCAGTTCTGCCCGCTCCATCACGTCCAGTCCAACATCAGAGCGAGGAACTGTCGAAATTAGGGGAGAGGTGCCGCCGCCGCCAGTCACTCTCCCATTGACCCACATCAGGATTCCTTTTCTGGGGGGTGTGCTTGATCAATGCCGCCTTTTGTCCGTCATAAATTGTCTAATTTCAATTTAATCCTGAATGCCTGGCTAATTATAATGTTGTATAACCAGGTATGTAGCTACATATCATCGAAATGCGTATTTGTCAGCAAAAGACTAGGATTTGAGGCATCATAAGTTTTTAGATGGCCCTACCAGTAGGACTCTTGCGACGGTATGCGTCTCACACAATCAGCCGACAGCTGACACAGCTGTCACAATCAGGGTATACCGCCTGATAGTGTGTCCTCTCAGAGACAGCGCCTCTGTTCAGTGTGGCGGGCCAGGAATCTGTGTATACTGGCGGACAGTGTGTGGCCCTTCAGAAACACCCTTTGAGCCTCCTGTGTGACAGAGCCAGGAATCTGGGTATACTCGCGAACGGTGTGTGTCTCCTTCCACACGACACTACCCCCCGTTCTTCGCGTCCGCCCGAACGGCGTGTCTCCCTCCGCCGTGCGTCTGACACCATCCCCTTCCCGCTGCCGCAGCCGCTGCTGGAGCAGCTGAGGGAGAAGATGGAGCGCGACGAGGGAGACGTGGAGATGCCGCCGCCGGCGCCGCCCGTCGACTCCCCGCTCATGTCGGTGCCGACACCGGCGCCTCACCGCGGCGACTACCCGTGATCGGCGCCACACAGCGGTGACTACCCGTGACCGTGACGGGCCGTGAGTCGTGAGGGCCACCGTCACTCACAGATGGCGGCACCGCTCCGTGCTGTCTCTACACCGGTAAGCGGTGAGTTCCACCTCGGACGATTGAGGACACGTCGGACCCAGGCCTGTGCTAATATGGCGGCTGAATACCACCGGATCTCAGTGACCGCGAGTGTTAACTGGTGCGGAATCTCACCGACTGCAGCTCCGAAACGGTCGCTCGGTCAGGGGGGTTGAGAGGTTCCAGACACGGTCCAGGGCGCGGTAGCCCGGAGAAAACTGTCTGGGTGACCTGGAAACCGACCGGTGGTGTATAGGACACGCAGCGGAAGCGCTCGGGAACCGAGAGACTGAAGGATGGAAGTCGCCAGTCGCCAGTCAGTGCGAATGCGGTTCCGTCTTGACCATCGTTGTAGGACACCAAACAGCGAAGCTGGTGTGCAGTGTTTTGTTTTGTATGACTTGATTTTATCATTAGTGTATCGCGTCGGTGACGGAATGCTGGTATATTCATGTATATCGATGAAGAAAATACGAATTGAATGTGCTATAATCGATCAATGACGGATGCTTCCTGAGTTTGCCGTTTTGTCCATCGTCATGCATCGTACCTGTTTTGTAAATAAAGTAAGTATAAAAGAACTCTGTATCTCTTGGTATTTGTTCGCATTTTGTATTCACAAGGTTACGTCGACGTAGCACGCAAAGAGAAGTGGGAAAATATAGTCACTTTGCATTACCACCAAATTGTATTGTAGGCATTGTTTTACGTACCAATTATCGCCAGTTTGGTGTGTGAGTGCACCCCGCTGTTCTGACTGAAATCAAAACGTTTACCTGTTGTGCATATTATATTTATCGTCGTGTTGGGGTTCCGTCGTGGTAATCGTATCCTCGTTTCACTCGTAAACTCGTATCCTCGTATCCTCGTAGTTATCGTAAACTCCCCTCCCCCGTTGGACGCCACGCTCGACGGCAGACGGTATCAGCGGTCAATTCGGGCATTTGTCCACCCGTCTTGACCGTTATGATAGCGTATCTCCTCTCAGCTTCTAGGTCGTATCTGACAATCAGATCGCGACCCCTGTTGTGCCTACTGCGGCCGCTCTAAGCAGACGAGCTGCTCAGTCCAGAGCTGTGTGTGGTCTAGTCCAGGACTGCCCCACCTCTGCGCCGCGAGCTGGTAGGTGGAGGAGACGCGCCATTCGATCGAGACCTACTCACCTAGCGTCGGTTGGTCGAGGCGATAGCGACCCAGCTGTCGAGCCTGCGATAACGCGACTGATACGCCGCCAACGCCGGTCGCGAACCGCGTGAGGGACGCTAGCCGCGACCACAGCGTCGGCTGGGCAGTGGTGACCGTCCCTTACGGCACCAAGGGTCATGGATAGACTGTGATAGTGCCAGAGTCAGGACTGCAAATCCGTGATAGTGAAGAGTCAAGAAAGTGACTGCGCGGTATCAGGACAGTGAGTCAGTGGAAGCATCTGGTGGAATGAGATCGAGTTTGTGATTGTGTCCCGACGCGGATTGCATTGTGAGTCATTGCCAGTGCCGGGCAAGAGCGGTAAATCTGACAGTGCCGGTAGAAACAGTGATCGTGGGTTCCGAGCTTAGAACAGCGAACAGAAACAGTGAAACCGTGACAAGATTGTTGTCAGACGCCGGGGCTGTGCTTTGTCGGGATCTCAGCGGAGGCTACTGCCTCAACACGGGTTCCTAGCCCGCATCTCTGCTGTGCCCGTTATCCGCATCGGCGATGACTGTGTGCTTATGTAGGTGATGGCAGCGGCAGTGTTCCAGTGACTGGGCCACCAGAGGCCGTGTGCTGGTGACAAGTGAGCGCCGCAGCGGCTGTGGCGCTCCGCTGAGCCGCGGCGGGTCGATCACCCGCCCACCGCCCACCGTCATGTCTCAAAAGTACCGTGCCGAGTACTGCAGCTCGGACGACCCTGACGAGGTGGACGAGCCGACCAACTGCTGCACACACTCGGAGCCGTTCCGACCGAGCTGCTGGGACTTCTGCGTGCCGTTCCTCTACGTGGCCTCCATGGCGGCCAGCCTGCTCAGCACCATCCCCATGGGCCGGGTGACGTTCATCTGGCAGAACCGCGCCGGCCCGGCCAACCACGCCATCTGCCCGCTGCACGCGGCCGCGCGCGACCGCGAGCACTGGGGCCAGTACGGCTCGGCGGCCTGTTACGCGGCCACTTTCCTGCCGGTGGCGCCGCTGGCCATCGCGCTCTGCCTGTGCGTCTACCAGCTGGCGGCCGTCGTGTACGCCGAGCGGAGTCGGCAGCGGCGCTCCCCGGCCGGCGACACCGCCGTCCTGGTCGCCACACTCGTAGCCACCGTCCTATGTCTGGCGGAGGCCGGTGTCCTCACGGATGGCGTGCGCAACACCTGCCTCGGATTTCAGATGGAGGACTTTGTGTATGAAGCGCGTGTCCGCTTCAGCAGCGTCGACGAGGTGCTCTCGTGTCGACAGGGCTTCGACATGCGGGTACGTTTGGCTGGCCTCGTGCTGGGGAGCACTGGGATGGCGGTGGGGGGGGGGGGGAGGGGTCTGCTCGGGACGATGAACAGTGTTGTATGGGCTCTAGGATGGCTGGGAACCTAGGACTCCCTCTCTTAGGGCACTGAGCGGGAAAGCAATGTTCGAGAGAGGTTCGACATTTACAGGTACGACCAGAGACCGCCACCTCCCGGAAATACCGTGTAAAAGGGAGATTGTAGTAATCTAGGGGACAGCTGGTGGGGCATGTCATTCCCGAGGAGGTGATGGATCGTGGATGGATTCTTTGTACAATTGTGCTCATTCGCTGAGGCTGTTAATAACTGCTTCCTGTGAGGTGAACTCTCATAAGCAAGGCTTCTATGCGAGTCTGGAGTCAGGATATAGCTTATTATAGCTCTCGCTGAATTGACGTTTCCTCACCTGCCGCCAGGACCGGGACCACATGATCACGGCGATGAACACCTACGGCCAGCTGATGGCGGCGCTGGCGGGCAGCTGGCTGAACGCGGCACTGTGGCTAGCGCTGCTCACCGCCGCGCTGCGCCGCGCCTGCCACTGGTGCGGCCAGTGCGGCGGCGCCACTAGCACCGGCCGCGCGCCCATCAAGGTGGTTCGCAGGAGACGGGGCTCACAGTTTACCGACGAGTTCCCCGAGATCGCCAGACAGCGCCGTGAGTCGTGGGTGTGAGCTGGTGAGGCGCCGTGGGACGCGGAAATGACCAGCGTGGACAGAGAGTGACATACTGACATGGCCCATGGGTATGTTCGGTGCCTATTGACACCACTTTCCGGTCTGAAAGACGGGGACGCCGCAGAGCCGAGCTCTAAGCGACGGGTCACAGAGACGCGGCAGACCCTCTCCTTCGGGACCTGAACGAGTCACAATGGTCACGGGTCACAAGGGCGTCGCAAGTCACAGTACCTGAAACGGGCACTGAAGGTACTGAAACTGACTGGCAAGGATACGGCGATCCCAGTTTGAATGGCAGTCGGCAGGATCGCCGAGACGACCGCTCCTCCTGACGTGTTGTGACAGCTCGGCTCTTCGTGATGCTGACTACCAGAGACATGGTGGATTGGTTACGAATGACGCCTGAGCTGGGCTTGCTCGAAACACCGGCTCGGCGGCAGCTTCGAATGATGTCGGCTCTCGATAGTGACGGCAGTGACGTGCTGTGATGGTTGACGAGGTGACATAAACGACTCCTCTTCCGCCTGTGGGAAGTGACACGGTGGTTTGTGATGGCGAGTTGCGACTGCGGTCCAATCCTACGGTTGTTCGGGCGATGTGTCCGTCTCGTCTTCTAACCGTTTTACCTAAACGTTGCAGAGTACCTACGGAGCGCGGGACATGCCGGGGAACCTAAAGAAGGTGAATTCACTTGCACCCGTCAAACCGTCACTTGATTATGAACCGTTTGTTGTCATTTAGTTTCGGGCCGTCACTTACCCATTCCCAGCACATGTAAATCCAGAATCGATTTTCATGCACCGCCATTCGATCAGATCAGTGACCCAGACTGCCATTTAGGTCGGTTATGTGCGCCTCACCTACTGAAAGGCGAGAGCAATGATCATGAACTGTTTTGTAATTTTGTGCCATCGTTGTCGGTTGTATTTGGTAACTGGCTGGCAGCGAAATCCACTGCTCGCGGTTAGACGAAACTGTACAGTTGTAGTTGTTTGCTTATTGCAATTCCGGTCTCCCATTAGTGTGAGAAATGCTTTCGGGTGCTCGCCAAAGACAAGCCTCTTCCGGAGAGAACCCCAAAAATGCAGACTGCGGGCAGTCAGAGCATGGCGACATGCTAATCGATGCTTAGATGCTTTGAAGATGTACAAACATGTGTACATTTACTTACGCCCATACATGTGTTTTGTGTGACTTTGTACCTTAGCAGGATTTATTGTTTTAACGTTGTGACTGCGAGTAAGCGAGGATAGTCGTGGAACACAATTTCGACATTCACCAAAGTAAATTATGCCCGTTGTTCATCGTGAGTCGATTGTTACCAGGAACTTTATTCCGTTTGCCAGCGCCATTCAGTTGATTCTTATGGACCGAACAGGAAAATGTGTTTAGTACGGTCACCTCATGTCCGACCTCAATCAAGCCTGTCTTTTACGTTTTTGAGCGAAAATGAGTTACAATGAGGAACAGGCCACGAGCTGTCTTTTACACATTCGGATATTGTGTTTGTTGGGTGATAAACGTACAAATGCATCATTTCACTCAAATGGAGGTGTGTTCGCTCACTCTGAAGTCTGTTGGGCCCAGCCCAAGTCTCTGCAGACAGCGGCTCCGTTTATCAAGCATAACCACTGGTATGAACGGACCAGGCGGAACCTTATACTTTCTGTGCCCAGTCTCCGTGTATTTTCTGTTCAGTGATGCGCACCGCTGCTCGCCACCGGTACAGCTGGGAGGAGGAGGGGGGCTGTCCTCATCAGAGGCGATCTTAGCTAACACCGGTCCGATATGCTACCTACTTTATCTAAAGCCTAAGTCCTCGACCAGCGTCAAATCTCACAAGCTTGATCGGTGCAGTTGGGCGGACAGTGGGACACCCGGTGCACTGAGTGGGGCCATCCGGCCGGCGCGGCGGCGCCTCCGGTCTGCCAGTCTAGCGGTGTCTGTCCGTCGACCGTGACAGGCCGTCACACCGTCCGTCACACGGGCTGCAGTCGGTCACAGCGCGCCTTGCTAAAAGGATAGAAGAGCTCCGCCGATAGGACAGGTGGACTCCTCCGACAGGAAAAAAGGTGAGTAGCGCCGGCAGTACCTACAGGTGACCTCCGTATGCAGGATAGATTGTACCCGTCTCCCCGTCGTCTCCCCGACTCGGCTGTTTTAGTCTTCGCCGGATCATACCCGATCCATACCTAGGCCCCAGCGTATTCTGTTCAGTGTTCGTCCAACTGCTTCGACATGGTCCGGATGTTCAGTAATATGCCGTTCCTCGATGCGTAGGTATTTGATCTTTTTAGCACCTGATTACATCACCCAACAGTCCACAGTGCTTGTTACACCAATGCAGTAGCGCGCCGCCAAGCGGCGCTCAGTAGTCAGCTCAGCTTTCCCTCTCAGCAGTTGACGAAACATACACTTCCTCTGCCTACGAAACAGCCATCACAATTGGCAGGGCCCAGTCCGTCTGCCTCGTTAAATCCGTCGCCAAACGGTTGGCCCGGCCGGGAGAGGCGGCGGCGGCGCCGTCTGCCCACTATTTATAGGTTCTGGCTCGGACCCCGGCTGACCTGTCGTTCGGTGACCGGCACGGGCAGTGGTGCTCGCGGCGCCGGCACGACAGCACGAGACGGTACGTGAACCGACGGGGCGGGCGGCGGGACTCATGACTCCCTTCCGACAGGGCTGGTTTGTCCGTGAGCTGAGCCCCGCTCTGCAGATTATTGATTAGGGCGGGTTAGGATTCGATGAGTGGTGACCCCAGGGATAGCTGCTGGATGGGGATGACTGAGGACTGAGGGGGAGGGGTTATAGTGACCCTTTGATCCCCTCTGGATATGCTCTCCCGGCGCCGCCTCTGCGCCCGTCAGTCTGTGTCGGTCTGGGGTGATTCAGCCTCCGTGTGAGAGCGGCTCCGGCCGGCTGTGCGCAGCCGTCAGCCGCTGCCAAGAGCTAGACTGACGAGCGGGCTGGGTTCTGAGAGGGCTCCCCAGTCACAGTGTCGGTCGGCGCGCCAGTCTGTCGGCTCAGGCCGCCCAGCCGCTGTGAAAAGGGTGACGGGCGTTGTTCGAGTGCGTAGTTTGCAGTCATGTTTCATCTCATGTACAAGTTCATGGATAGCATGGTACGTTATTTTAGCATGATTTATGTCTTAAGGTCGGGACTCGGGTACTCCTAGCACGATCCGCCTATTTCAATTGACATTGGAGTCTGCTCATTTTGTGACAAGTAATGAAATCATACTCACGTTTGAATTATCTTTTATTTTATTCCAGCTTCTTATGAATGCAATTGCAGCAATTTATGATATTTGCCTACATCTTAGCTATTTTTCTCCCAATAAATATTTGCAAACTCCCAAGCTAGCAGATGCAAGGGGGTAGAGGTAAACCGGGGTAGGTAACTTCATCATAGGTAAAATTTTGAATATGGAATCCCTTAGGTGCTACTTGGTGCTACCATATCACCTGTCGCGCCATAAATGTCACACTTTGTTTTCTGCTGCGCTGCATTCGCCCAATCTGAGTTTTTGTGTGTGGAATGCGAGCAATCTCATTGAAGAATAAATAAATAATGTGTATTTCGTGCATGTAACATTGACTTCATCGCTAAGGCAAGTGAGGCCTCATATTGTTCAACTTTCTGAGAGTTAGAAGATCAATTGCAGCTTGTATGCTTTGTCAAGCTTGATGTAATTCCTGCCTAGTGCCTTTTACCTAGAGGCATATAAACAAATAAACAATCCTATTTAGCTTGGTAATTGCTTGATGATAGTTAAAAAGGAAATAAATCATTTTAATTTTATGCTTTATTATTATTTTGATGACCTTAACTGTACCTGAATGAATAAGTTGTGTTTTAGACCTTGAATGCCGTTTGGTTTCCCGTTTCTGTCTAAAATGGATGGCTCCGAAGCTGGAGTGCTATCTTGTGACTGTTTTCATCATGTCTATCAATTTGCCATATAGGAAGTCATTTGACTATGGTTCTCATTTCTCAACCTCTGGTAAATGGCACGTAGGTACCTAGGTACCTACACCACATGTAGGTTACGGTATCCTGTGAAGTGTGACCTAGTCATAAATGATGAGCTGAGACCAGTTTTACCAGCAGAAAAATAGCTGCCCACTGGAATTTTTTGCCTAAAGACAGCTTCACATACAGAGCGTAAACGGTGAAGCCCCATCCGCTTACGTGCCCAGGGCGTATTGAAGCAGTCTAGGCAAAAAATTCCGGCAGGTGGCTATTTTTCTGTTGGTAAAACTGGTCTGTTTATTAAAAATATCAAGTAACATGCTGATGGAAATGGCAAATTTTGCACTTCAGTAGTGATGGAGCAGGAATGGTAATCCCAGGGCACTAAAGTCAGTAATCCTTTGTGTCAGGCATCATTGCGTACCACTATTACCAAGTTATGGGCAGATCATGTAAGATGCACACTGCCTGTGCAATGCTCATATTATGATAAGGCAATGTTCTGGAGATAGTTACCTAGTTCATATGTGTACGAACGAGTACATGCATTATACTTGAATTACCCCTGCTATTTTACTAACCCCTGTTTTTATAAGGCCCTTGTATTTATACAATACTAAATCCCAATCCTGATGGTCTGTTAAAACATGTTGAACAAGTTTCATTAGTTTTCTATCCTTCAAACCATTAGATATTTTATGTCTTAACTATATTCTGCAATCAATTCAGAAATTAAAGTTATTATTGTTTCAGTTGGGCTCAAGTTATTTTAAATTGATGTGATCTGTTTGAATGCATTTTAACCCTTATATACAACTAACACAGTGAAAGCATGCCAGTCTGAGCTACAGTACCTTTTGTGGCAATTGGCAAACATGATATGCTTTTATTTAGCAAGTTAGTTTCATGTATCATTCATGCAGTAGTAACCTACATTTGCACTTTGTATGATTTTTTGTTTGTAATTAGTACCTGACTTAGAACAGTTCATAGCAGCAAAAGCATGTTAATGACCTCACTGTAGTCTTTACTAATGTGCATTTCTGTCTGCTGCAGCATCCTACTTGGCTGCAGATCCTACCACCTTCCTGACGAGGTGTATACCTAAACCTCCTGTAGATCCACCACACAACAGAGAAAATGGGTGGATGCTGTGGAAAAAAGGTATGTTGTTATTGATTGAACAGAGTTTGTCACCACTATGTGCTTTAAATTCCTTTGGGTGTACCTATGATTTCAATCTTTGTCACATCATGCATGTGGATGCATTTGCATATGCAATATGTGGGTTTTATTTATGAGTGCACCTATTGATGCATTACCACAACCATCGGAAACGGTGCTGCATGCGATTCTTTCCATTGCTCTGCATTCAGTGATGAGTGCAGTGATCCCCGATCCACATTTTGCGCACTTCCTGCATCAATAGCATCACTCCCTGAAGTACCGCGATAGCCACACGCTGATTAGGAGTCACAATTGCTGGCGGCTACCATCGACACACATTCCGTAAGTTAACTTTATCAAATCTCCATTTTTATTGCATAAAGTGGTGGGTTCTAAAACACATGATTTCTGCATTCATTGAACATTTCTCCATTTATTGAGATGTCGGAGCATGGTACCTTTATCGGCGTTGCCTGTTTGCCTGCGCTGTGTTTGCGGCAGGCGTAACTGATACGGGACAGAACACAAGGATGAGCTCATGTGCCGAGTGCCGACAGTAGCCGCTTATCACGCTACCTCGAACCTCCTTGGACAACTATTGTGGGTCAAAACGCGGGCTTAAATGATTGTAACTGCTTTATGCTTTATAGGATGTTAGTTCACTTCCTTTTCATTTCTTACCTCGTGTCATGTGTTCTGTGAGTGGATGTGGTAATTTAAGCCCTGTTTGTGTAAATGGATTATCAAAAGAGTAACGGCATCGATAGCCACCATTTTCCCCACATCGTCGTGCATTCCCCGCATATAGAGTTGTGGACGTAGTGCCAACATTTTAATTTCCTTTTACCTAAGGTTGTTGCACCAGGCTTCATCGAAGAGTCTTTCCTAAAATAGAAGTTCACTAGGTGCACCAGAAGAACGAAGTGTTTGGGAACTTTTCTAAGGTCAACGCCGGGTGTTGGGTTAGGATTCATCGAGGTCTACGCCTAAACGAGGCAAAAAATGACTAGACCAGCACAGGCTTTCTCTTGAGTCTACATTATACCACGGTGATTATAAATACATTATATCACCTCTACTCATAACGTAGGTAACCTCTTATATGGCCCACTTTGTTTGCTTCATCATTTCCCTTGCGTATAACCCAGAACCCAATAATTAAACTCTCCCATGGTGGTCCCAATTGTTTTTTTTTTTTGAAATCGTCTTAGGATCGTGTCCGAACAGAGAGAGTGATCCACGTTGTGAGGTAGATTTGTAGAATAAGCCAAGTATTCATTATGACTGACTGTCCAGTCGCTCTTTATCGAACGTTACTTCTTTATCCTCGGATTTCGATGCCGCAATGATAACTTTGAACGGTCGTCTGACCCCAAACATCCTAACTGCAACTTCCTGTCGTCACGGCAACTACCGCAAGTCGAAATTGTGCGCTGAAAACAAGGCATGGCATAGCTTTCCCATACCTGCTACATTGCATGCTTAAATCGAGACATCCAGGCATTTTAATGGCACGTGCACTGTACCACACTTTTCAAAGTTTAATGCAGTGCTTTAATATTGTCAGCCGTGTGGTTCAAGGGGTGTGGTTAAACGCGTTGAACCACACGGCTGCTGACGTCACTATCAATTATAGTTGTGAGCTTTTTGGCAAGTATGGGAAACACCTTCCAGCCCTAAGGCCGGGAATTCAATAAATGTCACCTCGCTTTTTTAGCGAAAAGCACCTCGGGCCTAACGGCCCTCGGAGTTTTCGCTAAAAAACCTCGGGGACATTTATTGAATCATCCCGGCCCCGGGCAGGAATATATTTTGCTCGACAGGGATGTGTACTTCCTTTATGCAATGAAATGTGCATGTCACGGGCCGTAATGGCGCCACATGATTCGTCTTATCTCTACATTCCTCCCCTCTTCCCATCAGCTCTACCTCCTTCACCCTCTCTTTCTTCCTGCTCTCCTCCTCCCCATCTATCCATATCCTGCCCCCTCACTCTCGATAAATCAGGTCCGAAGCACCCAGTGTAACGTGTGAACCTCACGTACCGCGGAGCATGTAAGCTGCTGTCTACTTGCACATCACGCACCCCTGTCCCTCCCCCGATGGCCGCCGCGGTGTGGACTCTTCCCGCACATCACGCTTCACGCACCTAACTTCAAGCATCAGGCACTACGCTCCCCTGTTCCTCCACGATAGCTGTCACGGTTCCTGACGGTTACCGTTTGTTGCAGCAACGTCTGGCCCAGGACGCGGCTGACAAGCTCAACCTAACGCGTACGTATGCTTTGCCGATGGCAATTATTAGGGGAAATGGATGTGCTCTGGCTAATGTGGTTTGGATGGTTTTGAAAATGTGATGCATTCATCCTCCGTCAATCTCCATATGCATTGTATTGCCTATATTTGTACCATTACATTATGTTTACTCATGCACTTCTGCTGCGGCATCCTGAGTTTCAAATGCACCCGATTTGGATGTCTATTTGATTCTATAAACAAATAATCGCTTGCTTTATTTTCCGTCTGTTTTACAGCTGCAGAAATGGCCGAGCTCCTGGCGAAGTCCAACCTGCCCGTTATCTTTGTGCTCGGTAAGCGAATGCACTGTCAATATGGGTTGGAGTTGTTTGAAGAGATATGTAGGAAATTTCCAGACAAACAGTCGTATTTTGAGCACATACCTACAAAGTATCGTGTCGTGCGTACTGGGTCTGCTCTCGATTGAGATCTGATCAACTCACTTGTGACCTTTTAAAAATAAATCAATCATCAGCAATCTCCAATTCAGCAATTACAAATCCAATAATTGATGTCACTCATACTAGTTAGTTTGAAATGACGAGTGCTCTGCTCGTAAGCAAGCCTACTCGGACAGTGCCTTTTTTGTGCACAAGAATAACACGGAAGCTCAACTGGTGGTTGCTTAATTTTGTTTTCACTAGCGAGCCACCGAGCCCGCTGGGAAGTTATCACTAACGCCATACTTTTGACCGACAGGGGGTCCCGGCTCGGGCAAGGGTACCCAGTGTGAGAAACTTGTGGCCAAGTACGGCTTCACGCACCTGTCTTCGGGTGACCTGCTGCGAGCCGAGGTCGAGTCGGGCTCCGACCTCGGCAAGCAGATCAAAGACACGATGGAGGCCGGCGACCTGGTGCCCCTGGTCAGTGTCTCCCCTCCCGTCGGGGAGGGAACCGCCGGTGTATGAGGGGGGAGGGGGAGAGGAGAGGAAGGGGAACTGCCGGAGGCTGTCCCGGCGATGTGCAGTCGGGGCGGGGGCGGCGTTTTGGCACGGCTCTCCGCAGCGCACCTTGATGTGTTTGTAATTCTGATCGGTGCCAGCTGCCACACACACAGGGCTATTGTTCCAGGAAGGTTAGAGCTGGACGGATAGCCTTTGAGTGGGTTGGTTTAGGTTATGCCAATCACTTTGGCACGATGTGGTTGGGTGTATGTGTGGGTCATTGGTCTTCCCCGTAATCTGTTGGTAATGCACGATATTAATCGGTCCGATACACTCAATCACTATCTTCTATCTCCACAGGAGACGGTGCTCCGCCTCCTCCGAGAGGCTATGATCACCTCACTGGAGACCAGCAAGGGCTTCCTCATCGACGGCTACCCGCGCGAGGTGGAGCAGGCCGTCAAATTCGAGGAGCAGGTCGGTATGGGTGCGTTCGGGCGGCCACCGACGTAGCACTGGTGTCTATAACCTGTTCGGTTGTCGCCGCCGCTTGTCGTTCCCTTGCGAGTGCCGTCGTGTACTGTGCAGTGGCAGGACTGACGGCCTTCCTAATGGTGATTGTGCTTTTTATCTTTATGCTTTGGACGATATGGCCAATGCTGTCGACTGTTGCTGTGAGTTGCGACTGTCCCCATCCGAGGGTCTATGTGTTTTGGAACTTTGCCAACGGCAGTTGTTGCTCCTCCTGTGCGCGTCTATCCATAGCACATGAAGCGGGGATCTTGAATTGTCTCTCTCACCGCCACTGATTGTCTCCACTGCTGCAGGTGTGTCCCTGCACGCTGGTCATCTACTTTGAGCTGTCGGACGAGGTGATGACCCAGCGGCTGATGAAGCGCGGAGAGACCTCCGGCCGCGTGGATGATAACGAGGAGACCATCAAGAAGCGCCTGCAGACGTTCCACGAGCACAGCCAGCCGGTGGTGTGCCACTACGAGCAGCGCTGCAAGACGGTGAGCGCTCCAGAACGGCGAGATGAGGGGGACGCTCCCGAGGGTAAACGCAAGGGTGCGTCAGTGGCCACTCGCATCGCAAATCTAGGCGTTTACCTTGCCGTCGCTGCTTGCTGGCAGGCGAGGATCTCAAATCTCACTTTCCTGCGTCATGTTCTCTGCTGCTGTTCTGATCTCTCTGTAGTACATTGCCGCACTCAAATCCTTTCTCCGACGCAGTCCCCTCCATCATTCATTTCATTGCCGGTTGTTCCTTCGATCATCCTATATGCATCACTGATCGGGTGCTCAGCGGGTCAATCAGGACGGATGTGAATGTTTAAACTACTGCGCGGTGTCGGGACGTACTGGGCTCGCCGCTGAACAGTGCGGTTCCGGGCCACGTGTCGCACCTCTGTCACTTGGTGCTGACGGGTGTCCCCGTTGTTATTGCGTCGTCCGTGATGGCCGCTTGGTGTGCCCGTCACGAGTGTCTGAGCGGAGAAGCTCTGCTAAATGTGGCCTGTAACTAGCATTTTTGCCGATTCATCCGTGCCTGGTTTCCCCAAAGGCTCTTCAACCACAGATCAAAATTGAAGGAAAATATTGGACAGCTGCAGTTGACATTATAAGTAAAGTAATCTTAGTTGACTCACTAAATTTTAGCTCACTGAATTTGAGCACCACGGTAATAACGAGTGCCTCGCTCCCTGGTTCGCCCCTCGGTCTATTTTCCAACACAAATTCCAGCATTGCTTTCCGGTCCAACTTGCTGCCACTTATTCTTTTTTTTTTGTACCGACCCGCGCTCCTTCAGGCTGCGCCTCCATATCCTGTTCCCAGCTGCTGCCTCTGCCTGAACTGACAGTTTGCTCCTGTCCGCAGATAAACGCCGAGCGTTCTGTGGACGAGATCTTCGAGGACGTGTGTAAGGAGGTGGACAATCTAAAGTGTGGCGAGCAGCCAGCCGCCGAGTGAGACCCGGCTCCCTCCCGAGCAAGCTCGTCGCTGCTGGGTGCTGCACGTGTTCAAGAACTGTTGTTTCTGTTGCTTGCTGCGACTGGCCGGGGGCGTCATTGAGCCGGCCGCAGCAGTGTTTGTTCAGTTTAGTGCTTGCTGCAGTCGTGAAAGGCAGCCGGCGCCTGCCGTACGATTATCAGAACGCACGTGCAGGACCGCTGACGGCTGCCTGCAGGTGGCGATAGGTGGCGCATTTATATTGGTGACACAAATTGTAATCGCTGTGACGTCTTTCAAAGGTTGCACAAATTCGGTATTGTGAAGCGGATTTGAAGTTTTATGAAAGTAGTGGGCGCCCACAGCTCACCACCAGAGAGCGTACAACGACTTTTAGAAAAGGAATGGGCGCCCAGAGTTTACCTGCCAGCACTACAGAGCTAGTGTGTCGCTTACGAGCAACTGAGTTCTGTAACAAGCGGCAGAGAGATGTTGCCTTCGCACAATCGCAGATCGTTGCTTTAGTCGGGGGTTCATAGTCGTGCCTGCCCACGCAGCTCTAGTCACCTCACAGCCTAACGGTGACCTCTGGTCATATACTCAGCACGCCCGTGCCCCTGTAGTCCTCCCCCCCCCCCCCCTGCAGCGACCTGTCCTGTCCCGGGGAGGCCTTTGGTCCCGTGTTCTAAATCAGTGCCGCGTTGCAATAAATCCGTGTCGAGTTGTCACAAATACACCATGACATTATGTTCTTATATTGTCTACGATACTATCACTTTGGCTGCTCATCACACCGCCTTGAGCTCCTGCAGCAACTTCTGTTTGCCGGCGAAGTACTCACGGAACCACTCGATGTGCTCGTGTTTCTCCTGCACGGTGAGCCACGGGTTCTTTCCGAGCGCCACGCAGACGAGCTCCATGAACTGGCGGATGGGGCCGCGCGGCGGACACCACGGCTCCAATCGCTCCTCGAGGAACACGTGCTCGTGGAAGCCGACCTCTGCCTCCTGGTCCAGACCTGGCGGACGGCGGTCAGCGCGCGGTCAGACACCGAGTCATCGAATACCAACAGACAGGGGGACCGAGACGGGAAATGGCCGGTCACCAGACAGGCCAACGGCAGGCCGAGATGAACGGATGGTCCATGGGACATACAGAGACGGGCGATGGCTATCGGGGTGTGGGGGGTGGGGGTGGGGAGAGGGAGGGGGCAGACCAAGACAGAAACTGATCACCGGATATACGGACGAAAGATCGAGACAGGAAATGGTCGTCAGCCAGAAAAAACGACCACCGGTTCATTAGGCCCTTGCCCGGAATCCCAATTCCCAAAGCACCCTATTGGGGCGGGCAGCGGCATCATACATTACATAACCACACCTCGAGTGATAATTCTGCCGCTCCAAAATTTAAACGAAACTGGTTTCCATTTAAGATTTAATTGAAATAATTCCAATGTCAGGATACTAGAAAATAAGTCATTCATAGACATCTGCGCACCAGGAATCTGTCGGGTGTTCTGAGGCCTTTGGGTCATTATTTTCTAGCCATAACCTGAACCGTTTAAAACCGATATTTACCCTGTTCGTTGTTGACGGGCAGGTGCCAGAGTTTGCCCTGCTCCGTCCAGACGACCATCTCCTCCCAGGCGTTGGTCGGCGGGTGGGCCACGCTCAGGCGCAGCTCCCGCGCGTGGATTCTCTCCCAATGGCTGGCTTGTGGCGCCACCTCTGCAAAAGATTAACGCTGTACGGTCAGTCTCTGTGCAGCACAAACGACCCGCATCGTTCTCCGTTCGGGTATCACAGCTGAACAGGGCAGAGGCGGATCCAAGGGGAGGCATGGAGGCCATACCCCCCCCCCCTTGGGCCTTCCGGGGGGCACCATCACGGAGTTTTTTTTTTTAATTCATCACGGAGGTCACCGACGGGAGCTTCAACCCAGAGGTCTCCTAAGGGGGTACCATCCAGAAGGTCTATCGAAATAGGGTACCGTTTTCGGGGTCTCCATTTCTGTCCCTCGCCTCGGGTGGGGCTATTTTCATCCCGAGGTCCGCGGGGGCAACATCTCGAGTTCTCCGGGGGCACTATCCAGAGTTCTCCGTGGGCACCATCCCAAGGTCGGAGAAGGCACCATCGCGAGGTCTGAGGACACCATCTCGAGGTCTGAGGACAGACGGGGCACCATCACGAAGTCTCCGGGGGCACCATCCCGAAGTCTGTCTCCGGGGGCACCATTCCAAGTTTCCAGGAGCACCATTCCGAAATCCGAGGTCTGAAGGAGCACTCTCTCCGGGTCTGAGGGGGCACCATCCCGAAAAGTAAGTGGCCGAATCCGTGGATTTTTTAGGGAGGGGGGGTGGCACCACAACACCGTATGGCCCCCTTGACGAAATCCTGGATCCGCCACTGGCACAGGGCGGCATATACCGCCAGTCTATCCCCACATGACTTAACGTTACAGCTGTGGAAATCGCGACAGAAGAGCACACCCCTGAATCGTCCAACCGCGCACACACATCGAACGACAAGCGGACCCGACAGAGTCCGGTCACCCTAAACTCACCTGTGGATGCTTCCGGGGGCGGCAGGTTGTCAAAGATGCCCAGACGGTTGCCCTTATTGAGGTCCACGTCGTCGATGACGGATCCGCCTTGTCGCGGCGCGGCCGGCGGTCGCTCTCTGCGCGCCTGCCGCACGGTCTCGGCACGCTGGTCGCCCACCTGACGACGCACCTGCTGGGAGCGGCCGGGACGGTCCGCCTCCGCCGGCCGCTGGTCCACCTTCATACCGGACATCAGCTCACTGTGGATAGCACGGGAGATCCGTCAGGGCTGAGACTGACCAACTGATCACAGCGGGGAAAACAGCCCACTGCACTGCCGGCACCACGGGCGATCCATAAGCGTTACAATCGCACGGAAAATATCCAACACAACACAAACAGCAGATAACTCAGCTTGCTACAGCTGACTGAGCCAGCATTTCCAGCATTCCTTCTATTGCATCACTATAGCTCAGCACGCACCTGAGTTGTGCCTGACCGGCGGCTGGCTGTTCCGGGTCCCCGGTCAGTTTCGTTAGCAGGTCGCGTTCCGTCTGGGCTGGGTCGCCCGACAGCGTAGAAGCCACCTCACGGGCGGCCGCCGCCACCTGCTCGTCTGTAGGACAGGAGACTAACGTCAGAACAACAGACAAACGGACCGGCGACGGACAGACCAAATATTTATATAGATAAAAAACGGCACCGGCGGTGGACGGATCAAACATAAGATAGAAACGGACCGGACCAGACAGCAGACTAATAACAGACAGATCAGACACACGAGAGTACCGCCTACCGGTCCCATCGAGCCCCTCTTGCCCCAACTGAGTCCCTCTCAACCCACCGAGCCCCGCTGGCCCCCTCCCCGAGTCCCGCTGAGCCCCTCTCACCCTACCGAGCCCAGCTGACCCCCAACGAGCCCCGCTGGGCGCTGGCCCTCGCCTCTCGCCCGCTCCTCTCATCTCAGCCTCACCGAGCCCTGCTGGCCCTGATTGAGCCCCACTGACCCTCAATGGGTCCCACTCGCCGTAAGCTCGCCCTGACCGAGCCCCGTTCGCCTTTACCGAGCGTCGGCTGCCGCTGTGGTCGGTGCGGCGCTCCGCCGCTCTCCGCCGCCGCTGTCGGAGCGCGCTTCTTGTTGGGCACCACGTTTTTGGGCCGAGGCCGGCCGCCGGGTCGGGCCAGTCGCTCAGACACGCCCTGACCGGCGCGGTCGGCGGCTGACGGTGCCACCGTGCGTTGCTGTTGACAGTCACACGCCGACGATTACACAGAGCGCAGACAATGGACAGGGTACACAGAGCGGATGAGATACCACATGAACTCTTCAGCTGCTGTGGTTACCTTACCACTGATGTAGCTAAGCTTCACTACCAATTCAACAGCACAGTAACTGTTCCATTGGCAGCAAACACAACCACCCTCTAACTGGTTATCTTGATAAAATTGAGGTCCTAAATAACTTTTCATCTTTACATTATGTTGATATGGGTATTTGTTAAAGTTGCATCACAACAGTAAGATTATATGACACCACTACTGTTCAATTATATGAGCAAAGAAGTTTCACAAATATATGTAACCTATGGATACCTTTTCAATGGACTCTAGCAGGCTATTGAGTTTTGATCTGGCCTCTTCTTGTTTCAGTTTATCCTTGTCCTTTGGTGTGGGTCTATCTTGCTTGTCATCAGGGGCTTTTGGTCCCTCTGAGCTGAAGTTCCTATCATCTGGTGTGTGCCATCTGGTCATACCCAGCCTGTTCAGCAGACATCTCATTAGACATTGTTACATGACTAGCATTTTTTCATTCTTAGCCACACAAAGTTTATCCAGTCGAATGGAACTCAACTTTAGTAGATATCTTGAGCAAAAATGGTGCAGCTGAAGGGTAGAACAAATCATTTATTTTTCAGGCACATGACAAAAAAAGGCATTTTGCAACATGACTCAGTAAATGCAATATTCATCTTGATCTTTCAATGATTTTAAGTGACAGCAAATAGGATTATCACATGCTATCACACATACTTCTCAATTATTTATGATGTCCTTTGGCAATTCAAATTGACATACCAAAACCACATCTCAATCTCAATTTTGACTGGAAAGGTAATAGACATAACTCATAAGATCAAATAGGAATAGTTCACACTTAAAACAAAGTGACTGTCGACCGACCACTTGAATAATTCAAATGGCATATAAATTTGAAGGTCTGTAAACTGAAATGTTTTATAGCTACTTTAAATTACAAAAAGAATGAATAAAGATTACTTACCAGGTTGGCCTTATCACGGATACGCCCCTCCTCAAGCCTGGTCCTCGTAGAACGAATGCCATTGTAAATTAAAGTATGAATTGCTGAAGTGGTAGGTTTCAGACTTAGCTGCTTACTTCAGGGACAAAAAAGCATGCACTTCTTTTCAATAATAATAAAATAACAGTCCCCAAACCCCCATGCCACCACCGGTTTATATAGCCTTGCGAGCCTTGCCACCACCCGTGCGTGCTGTGTATTATTTCTGACTGTCGCACATGCGCATCATATGTCTTAATAAAAATCATTTTCATTCATTGTTGACGTCATATACAAGATATTAATCAAAATAGATGTAATTCAGCAATTTATCTACCATTAAGCTATATTTTTCTAAATTTTTATTCTTGTTACTGGTAGAAAATAAAGATACTTTGCCGAATAACTGAAAATTTTACAAAACTATAATTCCTTGCGTAATTCTTAAGACCTAAATCTAAGCAAGTGGATTTAACATGATTTAGCTCATTTTGATAAACCTTGACCTGTTGTTTTCGCTGCCTGCGGAGTAGGGGAACGGAGAGGAGGTTTGCAAGCTTGGGCTGTGAAAGCTGTATGGGGAAGGGGGAAAAGTGGGACTGATAGAACAGGCGCTGCTGGAAACCGGTCTCAGATAGAAAAAGGACAAGTGCAGGTAAGTTCTTAATCTCCTAGATCCAGCCATCCGGGCGAGGCACGTGGTCTCATTATTGGCGCCTGGCGGATCCTGATCCTGATCAAGGGCCCTGTGAATTCACACCCGGCAGAATATTTGGTACTCTCACTCGCCAATTCATGCTATTGCACCTCCCATGAGATCCCCACAAGAAGAAACAACCGCCCCTCAGTTCAATCACTTGATGCGCCTTTTTGAATACCTATGCTAATAGCAAAACAATCATGAGGGCTGTTCACGGGCCCCGTGTGCGGTCGGACTGCACACAGCCTCGAAGCTCTGCCCACTGCGTCCCTACGTCAGCCTTCCGTCACCGCACACAGCGATTGCTGTGGCCGGTCAGGACTGGCCACAGTGGACCGTCCACCGCACTCAGCCGTGACGTCAGAACCGCCTACCCATCCCCTACCCCCATGCCTGCTGTACGCACCGCACGCACACACCGCACGCAGCAGTGTGCGGTGCCCGTGAACACCCCTATCATCATGAAAATCCATCATGTCATTCCGCGGCAGAATATTCTGTGTGATGTCATACTTTGGAAGCTCTGCCACCTGCTCCTCCCACTGATGTGATGCCTACTCAGTCGGGGAAACTGTGGTCAAATCTTCCATTTTTAGAAAGCCTTCCATTTTTGGAAGGATTTTCTATATATGGGTACGCACCTTCCAAAAATGGGTACGCTGACGACGTCATCGTACCCAAATATAGAAAATGTTGCGCATATGTTGGAACTTACCGATTTCCGCCGAACATGAGGCAAATGCGACTATCGCCCCTGGTCGCTTTCTATTCGCCATAGTGAAGTGTCCATAATCTAGCGTGGATGCCTAAATCCTAGCGTGGATGTATTTTAGGTAATTTTTCAAAGTAATGAGTCGTGGAAAATTGACAAAAATTTACCGACAAACGATGGTTTTATAAGACTTTATCAAACATTTTGTAAGCAAAAAGCATCAAAAACGAAAAGTAAATATCCTTAAAAGTACTTTAGTGACGGGCCATGCTTGTTCGATACCGCCGACTTTATTTACAGTGCGGAATTGTCTGGACAGAGTGCGGCGGTTTCGGGAGTGTAGTGGCGAGTAAAACTTGTATTTGTTGCCGTTTTCTGCATTTATTAGCATATTGTGTGGTTGATTTCAATTTTTTAAGGCTTTTGCCAAACATTTGGGTGGAGGTCTCGTCATTTTTCAATGTTTTTTCCGGAATATGGGACGAATTAAATAGGCGTTGCTGCGCCGTTTTTCGTGTTACTTTCTATCGAAGGACCATGAATCTTCAATTTATATGAGGAATAGTAAGTTTAATTTAAACCATTTTTTGTCAGGGCTATAGCTGTGTTCCTCCTGGTTGGTTATTGACCAGCTGTTTTCTCTTCTGAATTTCTATGTGTCCTCTAGAAGTAGAAAAAGAGAGCAGTGCGCCAGGACACCATGCTATTATATCACTATGTACATTGACATAGCATGCCTGTATTACCAACACTAGCACTGCTGCTTCTCCTTATATCAATGATCATAAATGGCAAAATCAACTATTAATGTTACACATTTAAAAAGGCCGTAACTTAAATCAAAGAATGTGAATCACAGTTGGGAACACTGAGATTAGACCTTCCAATTTTGGAAGCCTTCCATTTTTGGAAAATGCATACCCATTTATGGAAGGTCCTTCCAAAAATGGAAGGCTTCCAAAAATAGAAGATTTGACCACAGTTTCCCCCACTGTACTGCCAATGCATCATGGAATACTAGGTACCTATTCTATTATAGGTACTTCACAAAGAAACAGGCCCCATTGCCATAAATGTGGAAGGTGGTCTCTGATGCTGGAGGCGGGAAGCGGGGCACCAGGCATACCCCAAAAGTTTTCTTAAATTAGAAAATCCTTTATTCTGATTTCTTAATGCACTTCCTTGCAGTTCAATCAAACATTTACTGATAAAAGGTGTAAAGTCTTTTCTATTCTTACAGAAATTGCAAAGTTTCATCAGTTTTGGGTGCTTAGAGGAGAGCATTTGGGGAGGGGAGCATTAGCACTTGGCCCAAATAGGAACATTTGCCCCTAATCCCCCTTGGATCTGCCAGTGCGTGGTCTGGTCTAGTCAAGCTTGCTAGGAGCTGGAACAGTAAGAGTGAGATTTCTGGTTAGTGGATACTTACTGGTTTGGTGCTTAATGAGAATTGAAATATCATATTGACTAGGTAATATGGTGGGTCTTTTGTAGTTTTCAGAAGCATTTTCTGGCCGATGACAAATAGCTTTTAAGTGCACCAGCTTTTTTAACATGCCCCACTTCTTGCCATCTGTCTAGTAAATTATGGACTCTTGAGGATCAATAATAAAGAAAGAGGCCATTGTTTTACTTGCCTTATGGGCTGGCATGCAATCTAACTCAGTGAATGAAATATGCTTCACTTGCAGCTGCTCCCATCAACCTCAGATTATCACCATCAGATGCCAAAAGTCTTATGTGATGAGGCTACTGTCTTAAACTCAGATTATCTGGATCTGTTTCTGGTAAAAAAACATCCACCCCAGTTGTACCTTGTACCCACAGCCACCCCAGTTGTCAAGAGTGAGCAAATCTAACCACTACTGGATTCTAACAATACAAGCAAACATATTGATGGATCCCTATGCTGTAGCAGTTAGTATTTACTGTATGATCTAACGAATACTGCTGTTAAATGATATGTGTAGGTAGGTACTTGTGACCTAGTGTGATATATGCAGACAATTAGCATAAGCTAGCCAACAGTAATTTGAATTGCTGGGTAGTTAGAAGGCGGGGCAGATGGCTGTACACTGACCAACTAAGGTTGGATTATAGAAAAAGAGTGTGCAAGACCAGCTTATGTGTTGCTATGAGCAGCAGTAGGGTTTCTGTTGCAGGGGTGAGCCAGTTAGTCAGTCTGAACATTGGAGGGGTCAAGGGGATAAGATGGATGACATTGGCTGCTATGAAGCAGTGGTATGTTGGTTGTCCCTGTGTGAACAATGGTGGTGGGGTAGGAGGGAGGAAGGGGGATTGGGCTGAATGTAGTTTTGATGTGGACAGGAGCCAGCAGAGTGCGGTTAGATGCTTCTATCCGTATAAGCAACGACAGGGGGGGGGGGGGGGGGACGTGACGACGGTCGTTCCGATGTAGGGAGACCACAGAGGGTCGAGTCGTTGAGCCGTTTTGAGCAGTTGAATGGGGTGAGGGGATGGGAGGGAGTGGGGTGAGGGGATTAGACGGAGGGAGAGGGGTGACAGTGACCCTGATGTAGACAGGCAGGGGGGGGGGCGGCTCGAGCAATTAATCGGAGGGGGGTCGAGGGGGGGTGGGTTCGTGGGTGGCGGTGGCCCCGATATCTCGGCGTGGTTATGGCAGCGGCCGGCCGGCCGTTCAGCCGTTCCGCCGGCCCCAGTATTGACCGGTCGGGACTCGGGAGCCGGGTAATCACGGCCTATCGGCGGCTGTCGCGCTCAGAGATGAACTGGCCGACGGTCGACCGGCGCCGCTGCAGCACCGGCCGGCCGAGACCGGCGACGTGGTGTGGTTATGTGAAAGGAAGCCCTTATTGGCGGGTCATTGGGGACGACACTGTCTTGTTTTCCTCCCGCCGGATCGCACAACGTTTCCTTTCTGTCGAGCTCTGAGCGTTGGGAATCACAACACTGCATGCCGCTGTGTGAGGATTGGCTGACTCACGAAGATGATGTTACAGTGATAACTGATAACAGAGATTCAGCAATGTGCTGCTGACGCGAAGCGGTTGCATGCAGTGACACGGACTGCGGCGGTATAGTCATTGCCGATCATGAAGTCATCCCTTCGCGGCATCCACTGACTCAACTCTCGGAACACACGAGCAAACGGAGTGGCTTCGAATCGGAAGTGTGTCAGCCAAATTTGGGTCGGTCAAAGCCAAAAGAGAAGCCAAAAGCAAGGTGTCACTGTCGAGCTTTACGTATAGCTAGTTTCATGAATAACCAACAGTTGCCAATATGTCTGGCATGTCGCAGCTGTAGTAGGTAATGGCTGTTTCCAAATGACACCATAATTTGTGGAAAGTTGAGATGTTTTGCCTTGCCTGGCTCAGTATAGGTATACTCAGGGTGTCAGTGCAGGGCACAGTGCCATCAGGCTCGATATTTGTCCTTGTATAATGTCCGACACAGCACGCTAGCCGCAAATACGGCCAGAAGGCAGCGAGCTCCCCCTAACCGCTGCGTTCCGCGCTGCGGGTCGACGTGTGTCATTAATCGCCGAACAGAGTGGAGTGCTCACCTCTGCTCCCTGGGCCGGCCGTCGCGCCCGCCGGCCGGCCGTCCCGCCCCCAGCGCCGATCCGAGCGGCGAATTGATGGCGCCGGGTCAGCCGGCCGAGACACCGGCCCTATACCGAGCCGTACTCCGTTAATGGCTCGAGAGTCGTTAAAACTCTTACGGCTTTTCAGGCTCGTCTTAATGTCCGATAAATTTCCGAAACACTGACAAACACATGCAATGCCGAATGCCGTGCGCTCACAGGTTTCCCAACCTCAAGGCCAATCTATGACCCTCAGCAAACGTTCCTCATTTCATATTTAGCAATAGTGAGCATCATTACACGAGCTTATTTGAAATGGCAGACAAAGGCGGTAAATTATTTTCATCCCATCCCATATGCTGGTCATTGCCTATTGATCGTATGCACTATGCACATATGCTGGTTATTTATCTATCGAACATGTGCAGTGTGCACACAACATTTGTGGGCTGTGGCGGCCAGCTGCGTAGTGCAACTGCACTTATACACAGCCGGTGTCAGTGCCGGCCTGGGTGGTTCCCCGTGTGAGATTTCTGAGGCGGAGACGGCTGGGTGTCTGTGCCGGCAGATTGCAGCCGCCCGTCCCCGCTCCGCAGTCCGCACTCGCCCTGGCGTCCGCGGTTCGTTAGTCCGTGACCAGAGTCGCCATGTGAGGTACTCCGGCCGCCTCTCGCTTCACTGACCGGTGAGTACAGAGGGCTGCCTCAGGACCGCCCGATGGTGGAATGACTGCTCGTTCGCTTCCCATCTGCCCTCTGTCTTCACTCCTCGCCCTTTCGTCACTCTGTCCCCCTGGCCGCTCTGACCTTCGTTTTGTGGAGTGTGATATATTTTTTTTTTCGTTCGACGTGAATATTGCGCTTAACCTCCTTGGGGTGCAATTATATGACTAAATAAGCCTACTTTACCACGTTTTCGGTAGCGATACTCTTGTAAACTGTTTCATGAGGAAGAAGAAACATTTGTATAGAGCCAAACCAATTAAAACTCAAAGTCGACGCTAACTAGAACGCAAGGTTGTCGTTTTGAGCATTGGAAGCCTGTGTGGTGTGGCAACATTCCTTGACAACCTTCAATGATTGCGTTACCTCATTGGAATATCAGTTTTCTGAGTGTCGACTGACTTAACCGCGTGGAGCAAAGGAACGGTGCTGTATGTATGATAAACACATAACATAGTATTCACGTGGCCTGTTCAATTGTTCTCAGTTAGCACTTTGCAGTTTGCAGTGCACACGAGCGGCGACCTTATCTGATTCCTCCATCTGAGAGCTGCCGCGATTGTCGACCGACGCTCCGTCGACCAATTCCCCAACCTGTAACATCAGCCGGCCGAGATGAGGCCGGTTTATGGGCGGCAGCGCCGGCGCCCCTGGGAGCGCATCGGCCGACCTCAGTGAGAGTGACTGCCACCTGGCGGGCGGTGTGGGGACGGCGGTACGTGGGACAGCCGGGCGGCCCGTCAGTCGGTGTGCTGGGGTCGTTGGGTGCGGCGGAGGGGAAGGTCGGCAGCGGCACACGGACGGTGTGTGGGGAGCGTGGGAGCTGCGCCCGCGGAATTCACCCCCTCGCCGGTCCGTGCATGCCCACTCGCCAGGTAGGTAGGCAGCGGCACGGTGCCAACCCTCGCTCTCCGGTGGCGAACGGTCGTAGGTGCGCTGGCGTCACCGGCCGGCCCGAGTTTGCCAACCGACGTCTGTCGGCACACTGCCAGGATGCTGCGGCACTCACTAGATTCCGGCTGTACTGCCGCGGTTTATTATTTCCGAGCCATAGAGTTCCCTGAGACTGAATTTAAGATTGCTTCATACCGTGCCAACTGTCTTAAAATGGGACACTCTACAAATATGTCCTGATGCCCGGGCAGTTTTAGCCGCTTCTCTCGAAGTCATGGATTTGTCACCACTAGCTATTTCTGTGCCGTTTTTAGATGTCCCCGGCTACTTAAATTTCGTCCGCGGCACCTGGGACTTTCTCTCCGCGGTTGGCAGCGGTGACCGACCGTGTCTTCCCCAGTTGTGACCTTGTCTCTCCTGTGGTAGATGTGTCTCCTCATCGGTGACCGTGTATCACAGTGTATCCGCCTGTCGTGATATTTCGACACCTTTTTTTAACCCCACATCTGTTCTCCGGTGAATTTCCGGGAAGCACGAAAGATCTCTTTTTAGAAGTGTCCAATCGTCCGATCCTGATCAAATTTGTGTGTTCGTAAGCTTGCTCTGGCATTGCTTGATCTGCCAAGACAGACAAACTTGAGAAAAATCGAGTGACTGTACCTTTTTTGAAGGTTTCTAAACAACTTGTCTGAACTTCACGGGAGAACAAATGTGGGCTTTAAAAAAAGGTGTCGATTTTATCTCAAGCTGCTACCGTGTCTCCACGTTTCTCCCCCGCTGTGCCGTGTCTCGCCAGCTGTCTTCGTGTCTCCCGCAGCTGTGCCCCTGTCTTCCCCAGCTGTGTCGTGTCTCCAGAGCTGTGTCTGTGTCTCCCCCTGTCTCCCCAGCTGTGTCCGTGTCTCCCCACCCACGGTATCCGTATATTGGACCTCCCGGCCGCGGTCAGCCGGACCCCCCGCCCCCCGGACGGCCTCGCCGTCCCCTCCCCAGCGGCTCTCCGGCGCGGCTCTGGAAACTCCCCAGTGTGGTGTGCCGAGTGGCCCTGACGTGCTGTATCGCTGAGTGCGTGCGGCCCGGTCAGCGCTGAGCTGTATTGGCGGCGCCGGTGGGACGTGTCGGGAGCCCTTCGTCAGCAGCCGGCTGGTGTGCTGGGAGAGAGGAGGCGGTCTGCTCTTCGGATCTCGTTCCGCCGCAACGCTGCTATAGAGGCGATGGTATGGCGTGGGAGCAAAGTTGTCTTCAGCACTCGTAGCGCAGAGATGAGATCTGGACACCTGTGTGAGGACTTTCGTGTGGTGGAAACTGACGGTCTTGGCGTGAAGTTTGTCGATGTTTCATCACGCTGGATCTTGACCTTTGGTCCCGTTTTAGGATTCCGGTCTTCAGCCCCAACCGGTCTCCTGTCAGGTAGTACTCCGGCCATGCGTTGGTGATTCATTCCGCGTGGCCTCTGGTCTTGAACTCTCATTCCCGTCTTCGGTATCGGTCCTCTATCCCGCCAATATCCCGGCTCGGCCGTCGGCGACCAGAAGCCGGGCTCGGCCCGGAAAGGCGATTCACCTCCGACACGGAGTGGCACGCTACTCTGCTCCCCAAACGGGGCATAACGCAGGCAGACGGCAGCTCTGCGCCGCTCAATATCAGGTGGCAGCCCCGTGGGACGCCACACGCGATCGGGCCGCTCTGATGATGATTGGGTTTTAGGGACACCCGGGCCGCATCGGTCACCGTCGGTCGTATGGTGCCGCCGGCCGTCTCTGGACCTGCGTGTTGATCGTGTTGTTTGCGCCGCAGCGCTGGTCTACTGTGGGCGATCCGGTCGACCGGTGCGAGGCCGGTTCGGGGCACACCTGTTTGATGTCCCGACGTCTGACAGATGCGCCGGACAGGCTCCCGTTCGACCGGCGACGAAACTGCCCACGCCGACTCAGCAGCCGTGTTTTGTAGGCATGACGTCATATGCCTACGCCGGCACATTTTTAACGAGCTGTTTTGTTCCCGTATGTACGAGGGGCGTTCAAAAAGTTCTCGGCCTGACCATGAAGGAGCAGAGATACGATGTCGACTTATTAGACCAAAAATGTTCATTTAGTCAAATAACCAGCGTTAAGACAAAAATATTTCGCGCAGCGCTTCGCGAGAGGCCCCTGGGTCTCCATAGCCAAATGGGTTTTGGACGCATCTGGCACGTCCAAGACGGCTGCTTTTGTCTCCTTACTGTCAGCGAAGTTGCCACTGCTAAGCAATTTCCTTATGTTGGGGAAGAGGTGGCAACCTGAGGGTGCAAGGTACGGAGAAAAAAGTGGCTGTGACAACAACTCGAAGCCACAGCTCACTGCTTCGCTGATCGTCACCCTGCTCATGTGTGCTGGTACGTGGCCCTGGATCAGGCGCACACTTTTAGACAGCTTCCCTACTCTCTCCTTGATATCTGCTGCTCGCTACTGTTATCGAAGGGAGGTGTAACATTCATCAGTGCGCCCCTGTTTTAGAAAGTTGACGAGCAGAGCCCCGCCATCATCCAAAAATACAACCACTGTCACCTTGCCGTCTGACTTAAACACGTCGCACACATTTGGTGGCCTTTACTCAGTGTGCTTCCACTTGTGCAACTCGGTCACGCCCTGAGGGTCAATGTGTGACACCCACAGTCCCTCCACGGTAACAAGTAGTTCAATGAACTCTTTTGGATATTCGATATAGGGGCCAAAATTTTCGCGTTACGCCTCCTTTCGAGTTTGCCTTCCCTCTGGAGTCAGCAAACGGGGATGCATCTTGCAGAGATCTTATACATATTAATACGCTGTCGAAGAATGGCTTTGAGGAACCTGATAGACAACTCCGCTTCTGCTGCGTTGTTTCAGACCATAACATTTGTCATTTTTCACAAAGAAGTGCTTATTTTTCATATTTTCTTGAGTCAATGCTGTTGATGGCTGGCCACTGCGGGGGTGACCATTAATGATCTGTTGACCAAAATTGAACAGAGATGCCCACTTTTTGACGCTACTGTAAGAAAGACAAACCTCAACATGTGTTGGCACTAGCTTTTCGTGAATAACGTTTGGTGCATTTTTCTGCAATACATGAACCAAATCACTGTTCTCTTCTGGGCGTCGCCCATTCTGACCGGGAATAGCAAACTATGCTACGATTAATTAGCAGCCTGAACCAATCACAGGACAGATTGGTTAATGGCTACGTAAGTGGACATCCCAATAACATATCATTGAACACACCGCGTTGCAGGCCGAAATTCCAACTCCTTCATGGTTGGGCCGAGAACTTTTTGAACGCCCCTCGTATTTAGGGCGCAATGTCATCAAACGAGATATGCGGAGCAACGGTGGAGAATATGTTTATGTGACATTGGTTTTTACCCTGCCGTATCTGGTCTGATGTTTTTCTCTTGCTGTCCGTTTGCACGTCCTCGTGGCTTGGTGTGAAGAGATTAGTTTTCTGTAAAGGCTGCCCAGGAAAGGAGCGTCAGTCACGGCACCACCAGGCACGGAAGGTCGGCGACGCAACAACCATCCGTTTCTATTAACGTGACCTGCTGTCCGCTGGGTAAGCCAGGTATGTTTTCATTAGTGGCTGTTGGTATTATTGTGGCTAGAATAGCCGTCCCCGCTGCTCGTTTGGGATAAGTCTCTCTCGTCACGCAGCAGGGTATGCCATTCTTAGGATAACTATAGATAGATGGATCGTTGAGCTGGCCGATACCGTCTGTCAGTAGGTGGGCGCTCTCAGACAGTGTTTGCGTGTTATGTGACAGGCAGTAGGCGTTGCCTGACTGAATGCAGTATTGTCTGCTGAACAACAAACGTGTGTGTGCCAAACAAACACAAGTGTCCCGAGAAACACCAACAGGGCCAGAGCTCCCCGTCTTTTATGTTTGCTCGTTTACTCCTTGCTCTTTTGTTGGATGCACATTAGCTGGATCATCTGTAAAGGCAGATCTGTAACTTATTGGCTTCTTGTAATGTAAAAAACAGCGTATTGCTTCGCTGTTTTCAGCATTGTGTTGTTATAATATTTATTGTGTTTTTGTTAAGTACTGTCTCCACGT